TGATGACTTACTGCACTGCAAAAAGTGACATTGCTCAAATTCTCCAAATTGTATTTTAATTTGAGCACATTCTGACTTCCTTCAAACAGGATTTGCCAATGGGACAAAGCAAAATTATCTTGTTTTAAAAATATACAAGAAATGTCTTCCTTGGAATGCAAAAATAAAGCAACAGTTCTTGAAATAAGACTAAATGGCCTTTTCTATTATATTTACTTTCATTTTGGTTATTGTTTTATTTGCTTGTGTTTTTAATTTGTTTAGTTTTTCTATTTTTGGCAAAAAAGGTCTTGTTATGCTGTACAGTATGTGTTATGGGTAACAAAAGTGTGAACAAATGAAGATGACACAAAAAAGTCAAATTTCTTTCTTCCATTGGCAAATCTAGTTTGAAAACTGTCAGAATGGATTTAATGAACCATTAGATTCAAGCAATTATCCTTTTTTTGCAGTGTTACTACTTACTGAGATCTGTATATGTTTGCATATACATTCATAGGGCCCTTTACAATGAATGATTCTTAAGCTGTGGAAATAAGAATGATGATACATATTGTACTAAATAATAGAGACTGAAATGTTTATTTGAAGTGTAGCATGCATCGGTGCTGTGTTATGCATAGTTACAAAGTTGTGTATGGAGACATAGGTCAGCTGCGACTTCTCAGAGCAGTGAGACCAAACAAAGCCACCAGTAAGTCATGAAACTGTCCTTGTTAAATCTTCCATTTATTGCGCTCTCTCACACAGCCAGCTCTGAATCATGGCAGGTTTTATCAAAATGGAAGGAATTTCTTTCTGCATACCTTCCGTACGTGCTTTTGATTAAGTCCGATGACCTCAGAGATCGGCCTGAGAATGGAGAGAGTCTCCAGACTGATTTAACCGATCAACAAAAAACACAAGCAAAGTTATCTATTGGGAAATGCGTGGAGACAACACTGCCGCCCATATGTCGCAATCACAGTCGCTGGTCACTGATCGCTCTCTGACATCATGACAGCTGGGAACATACGCTCAGTCTGTATTAAAGAACAGTACTGCACATAACTTCAAACTTGGCATCACATTATCACCTTGGACCTTGAATGTTTATCTGTCTTCAATCACACCCCACTGCCAACACTGACCCAGTTTGCTAACATCCAAGTCTGATTTTACAAAATGACAGAAAAAATATGGTCTCAACTTCATGTCAAAAAGGGAAAACTGTCAGTTTCACAGTCATACATGATCCATTTTATCTTAACGTGTTTGGTTTGAATAGTTGCCAAAAATGAAATACAGCAATGGAGTTTCACTTGCAGAAACATGCTAATAGCACATGAGCAGAAAAGATTATAGCCATAAAAACTATAGGTTAGAACAAGGTACATGTGTTTGCCTTGGAGGACGAGTCACACTGAGACACAAGATAAATATTACATTTGAAGATATTTAGCAATAAAACAAAAATCCACATAATGTAGGGAGGGATGTTTGAGGGCATAGGGCCGAGGTGGGTTTGAATGTGGGATACTGAGGAGAGCGGGTTGATTAGGAGGACTTCTGATTTGGAGGTGTTAAGTTGAAGAAAGTTATTGGCAGCAGCCAGACTTCCAGGGTCGTTTGGTCTCAGCGGGAGGTATATCTGTGTGTTGTCCACATAGCAATGGAAAGACAAAATTGTTCAAATCAGTTGCGCATTAGGTTTCTTTAGAAGTGGCTGGACACCGGATCGGACAAGACCTTGATCCAGGGACTGATTGATGATTGACAAAATGGGGGCCCAACCACATAAAAAACATCATTGAGAAATTCGGTGGATGACATCAAGGCTGCACATGGTTTCATGTGGAATAAAGTGTCAGATAAAGAAGAAAGAGATAAAGGCATACAATTAGTGAAACAATTAAAATCCAGAGCTTCTCTATTTCAAAGACTGGGCTAGGAGCAGATATATGGGCCCGGATATCAGCTATCTTTTTGATGAAATGGTTTAAAAATAGTTCACACTGTTCAGTGGATGCATCACTTAAAATATAGAGATTGGGATTTGTAATGGAATTTAAAATATATATATATATATATATATATATATCAAGGATTTGATTTGTTTTGGCTGATAGAGTTTGAATTAAATAAAGTTTTTGCTTCCTTGACTACGTGTTGATTTTGTTTGAGGCCATCCTTCCAGGCGAGGTGAATTACTGCCGTAAAGATGGCGTCGTGGCAAGAGCTCTGGTGTGTGTGCACACCGGGGTAGTCTTGCACAGTTTTTCCTATGTGGTTACTGCAAATGGCAAATAAATGAATCTGAATCTGAATCTGAATCTTACTGTGAGGTGTGTCTTTTTCCATTTTTGTTCATATTGTCTACAAGTCCATAATAGTTTGAAAGTGTTTTCATTGAGCCATGGTCGTGGTGTTCTGGCGCCGGTGGGGTTTCTTTGTTTTAAAAGTGAAATAGTGTCTAAAATCCTGTGTCATGTTTGAGAAAAGGAGGAGACCTGCTCCTCCAGGGAAAGATTTGGGTTAAAAGTAGTTAAGGAAGCTGTGGTAAAAAGTTGGGAACATTTAAGAGCAGGGGAGGAGTTAAAAACACAAAAGTGATAGAATGACTCATTGGAGGCAGACTGGGGGGGCTAAAATAACGTCAAATAAAACAGCTAAGTGGTCCGACACACTTAGCTTTTTTATTTTGGTGGTGACATTTCCCGCACTGCGACCAACCGTTAAACACATCATGCAGACATGCAGACATGAATGTTAAAATGACCTAGGATTAAAACTTTGTTGTAGGGATTTGTCATAAAATAATTAAAGACAAGTGTTCAAATGAAGTAAAACATTTCGTATTCCAAAAGTGCATTTACATTTTTTTCTTAAAAATAGCTGTAACCCCCCCTCCCTTATTGGTTAGAATCATGGATCTATTATAATATGTGGATAGGGTATTCTCGCGGTGCTGCAGACTAAACCAGACTAAATTCACGTGGGCTACCCAGACATTTCCCCATATAACTCAATGTAAACTAAAACAGCTCGACCTCAGCTGAGATCCTACAGCTTTCATAAAGGACGGATTTTGTGGGGATTTTAGTGTCACACATAGGAGCTTTTTGTGGCTTAGTTTCACTCTTATCTATAATGGCAAGATTATATGTGAGAAGACTTGGATTGTACAGCTATAGCTTTTAGTGAATGAATGAGTGTGTGTTTGTGAGTGCGAATGTGGGACAACGGATGCAAATTAGATAAAATGGCTACAATCCGGAGGGATGTGTTAATTAACATGTACTGTCCAAACCAAATAAACAATAAATAAATAGATAGTTTTTTGATCAGAACACCTTGGTTTGAGACGACCGTTGGCATTTAAAAATTTATTTATTTGTTCTTTCTCCCTGTTGCCTTGATTACTACAACCACATACCACACAAAAACACAGCCTTTTTGTAGTGTAGTGGCAGTAGTAATAGTAGTAGCAGTAGCAGAGGTAGCAGCAGCAGTAGTAGCAGCAGTAGAGGTAGCAGCAGCAGTAGCAGCAGCAGTAGTAACAGCAGTAGTAGTAGTAGTAGTAGTAGTAGTAGTAGCAATAGTAGTAGTAGCAACAGCAGTAGTAGTAGCAACAGCAGTAGTAGTTGCAGCAGCAGCAGTAGTTGCAGTAGTAGTAGTAGCAGTAGCAGTAGTACTAGCAGTAGCAATAGAAGCAGTAGTACTAGCAGTCGTAGTTGCAGTAGTAGTAGCAGCAGTAGTAGTAGTATTAGTAGCAGCAGCAGCAGCAGTAGCAGTAGCAGTAGCAGTATAAGTAGCAGTAGCAGTACTAGCAGTAGTAGTAGTATATTTATTTGGACATTATGAACAATACATTGTGGGGCCCATGTTTTCAAAGATTTGATACATTTTACAATAAGTTCTGAACAATGGGGGTGGGATGTTGGGGTGAGATTAGCCTGGTCTTATCATACCATATTGTATTTCATTTCGTACAAGCTAGGGTAGGATGCTTGGGCTGATGAAACATGTTTCTCTGAGGACAGACTCGATGGGGGAATCGAGAGGAAATGAACGCTTACATTTCACTGTTGAACAACCTCATTAATCATAAACAAAATATTAATCTTTGTGTAAGTAATGAATAAAACATGCTGTGTGCTCACGACTAAACTTTCAAAAGAAGAAAATATAACAGTTATTATGATACTGTATATTTATTCTGCACAAAAAGTTCACCCTCAAATATGGAAAAGATTCACTTGCATCAAACCCACATTTCCCCCGTCGGATTATTGTTCTATGAAGCCATAGAACAATTATTTGTTCTATGAAGCCAAATGCACGACTAACAGTATTAAGACACTGATAGAACATTTTTAGGTGAACTATGAGGCCAAGACTGCATGTGAAAGCCAGATCCCATCAGACCTCTGAAGTTAAGCAGGTCAGGGCCTTGTTAGTACTGAGATGGGAGACCTCTGGGTACACCAGGTGCCACAGTGGGGCAGCTGCGGCTGTAAAGCAGTTGTTGTGTCTTTAAGCAAGACACATTAGAGTCGTGTGTGTGCGTGACATGTTGCTGGTGGTGGGAGGGGCTGATGGCACATACTGGTTGCCACGCTTCTGTCGGTGTGCCGCATGGCAGCTGTGGCTACGGTAGTAGTCTATCATCTCCGTGTATAGCGTGAATGAGTGTCTAAAAAAGCGTTATATATAACCAATGCATCTTTATATTGAGTAAAAATCTTTTATAAACATAAGCATTTGAATACTGATATCTTCAACTGATCAGAAGTATCCAGAAGACTAACACTCCTTTTAGACTGAACAGTAATATTTGAATAGGTCATCAAAAAATTTTCTGGTCTGTCGCTGTATTATGGTATGTTCACTATGTGTGTGGAGCAAAGCTGTTAAGTTAGCGCTCTCTTTCTATATTGGCCTCACAGAGAATGTGTTTACAGTGGCTTTATGAGTGTTGTGTCCTCGTCTTTCTCAGATCTGGATTTTTTTATGCACAGGCCGTTGAGCTGATGGTGCGACAAGGAAGGCAGAATGAGTTGAGTTTACGTCCCGTTCCCTAAGAGCCACAAGAGAACCCTGCACTTCACATTGAGGAACAGAAGAGGTATAACACTACTCCAGTGGTCAAAACACACCACATCCTATTTATTATAAATATATGAAGAGTTAAGTGGTAAGTAAAACTAAAACAGATTAGTGTCACATTTGAAAGACTTACAATTTTCTCTTTACCAAGTCTATTTTAGTGCCAAAATAAATGATGTTTCACTCATGTCTAATGACACAAATGATGTAATGTGCTCAGGCTATGTTTTTGTGTTAACTTGTTTTGCCTACACTGTTATACTCTACTATTCAAACCGTCTCCTGAGGCAGATGAAGTGTATAATCTACAGCACAGGCGTTAACATGCCCCAGACTTCACTCACTTCAGGATGGAACACAAGGGAACTGCGATTTATGGTGTTCATTTCTGTTACAATATAATTACACAAAACATACATCAGCAGATGTATCTGTTTTCTTAGTTAAAAAACCTAATACATAAATATGTTGATAGCTCTTCAGTTGTTGATGGCTGAACGTCCTCAGACAAACAACAAAGAAGGCCCCGTAGGTAGTTAAAGGAAACAGAGTTCTCACTACTTTTTGATACAGTCATTCCATGGGGAACCAGATCAATAAGTCAGTTTTCTGTGTTTTTAAATATGTAATTAAATGTAAAACTATCTTCTGATAAGAACAATAGAGTATAGTAATATTGACATAAGTGCAGTATGTGCTTTAGGATGTACATAAGAGCCTTGCCTGAGTGCTGCGTGTGTTGCCAGTGCAGGTGGTGAGCCCATGAGGTCGTCTATGCTGGCCCTGCTCTTCCTCGTCAGTGTCCAGGCAGTGTCCAGGATCAAGCAGCAGGAAGCAGGCGGCTCCATCCCCACAGTGGATTCTAAACTCTTCAGAAGGAGACGCCACCACTCACCCAGGGTGCTTATCAGCGCCCAACCACCGGCTGCGGAGCCCGCGGGGTCCCGGGCCAGCAGGAGGAGCCGCCAAGCAGGGCCCCAGCACAGGGGCATGTACTCAGTGTGTGACAGTGTCAGCAACTGGGTGGGGAACAAGACCAAAGCCACAGACATTAAAGGGATTGAGGTGACAGTGTTGCCAGATGTAAAGATCAACAATGTGACCAAAAAGCAATATTTCTTTGAGACAACATGTCACACCTCACACTCGGGGGCCTCAGGCTGTTTGGGAATAGACTCGAGACACTGGAACTCCTACTGCACCAACTCCCACACTTTTGTTCGGGCGCTGACCTCTCACGACAACCTGGTGGCCTGGAGGCACATTCGCATCAATGTTGCATGTGTCTGTGTGCTGAGCCGCAAGTCATGGCGGCAATAACATGAGTATGATAATATCACGCTCTGAAAGAGACCGCAAACATACAACAGTTACACACACAACGCACAAAGTAAGTTATTGTATGCTATGTCTGCGGGACAACTGTGTCTATCATGGTCGTGCATGGGTCAAAATTATTTATCCAGTTTTGAACAGCCTACTCCTAACTTGTATGCCCTTCATGAGAACAGTGTCTGAAATGCTCTGTGTCCCATATATATGAGGAGAGCTAATGTTTTCAATGTTTGTTGTACAAAAGTGGTTTATATTGTTATTTATTAAACACATGCCACATTAAGAAGGAATGATTACATTTCTGTCAAAGTCTGTACACAATAAGCCTCATGTTTCCAAGAAGAATGAGTAACATTGTACAGTAAAAAGAAATGAGTCTTATTGGCACAAAATATGTTTCACTTTACTGGCAGAATTTATTCTGGCTTTGACTTAAGTTTTTCCAGCTCTTCGTTCAATAGCAGACATGGAAAACTTCTCTTCTCTTTTCTTTACTTGATAGTATCATATAATGACTTGTTTTGATAGTGACATATTGGTGTTGGCCCTAAGGAAATGTCCCACAAGGCTGTCTCAAAAACATTTAACTCTTTAGAAGAGAAGACTAAACCTTAATATAAAACCCTTAACATTGTAAAGCCATCTATTTATGGATTTATTTATCTGTTAAGTGTCAAAACTTAGTCAGACTTAGTTTGTACTTTATGTAACTTTGTGACTTTTTTTTTCTCTAGTAGTTTAATTCTTTCATTATCTTTAAGAAATTATCATATTATTTTAGACACTTGATTAGATCTATCTCTGAAGGGCAATTGCTGGTTACTATAGCAACACACTATTTATCATCAGCAGTTAGCATTTGGTATCAACAAACTTTTTTAGCACTTAGTAAACGTGAGTAAAGTTTAAAAAAAAATATATATATATACAAGCCTTTTGTTACTATAACTTTTTAATTCATCTGGTAAAAAAACACAGCTACCCTGGAACACTGACAGAAGCGAGGCAACCAGTATGTGCCTTCGGCCCCTCTGACCTTTACACACACCAGACTCATTCTAATGTGGGTGAAGTGTCTTGTCTAAGGACACAACAGTTTGGTACTTTACATCACATCGCCATCACAATACTAACGAGGCCCTGCCCTTCACAGCTTCAGAGGTCTGACAGGATCTGGTGAAAGTATGCGAACCCAGACTATGCTTGGCCTTCGTATAGTCCTGTTACAGACCTGGTGTCATTAATTCATCCATGCCTCCATCATAGACTGGGTTATAGATCCATGCTGTGGCTCCATGCTCCATCTATGCCGCTCGTCGTCATTACACTGCCGCCATCTAGAGGTCAAAAGAAAGAACACATCTGTCAGCGAATCTGCTTAGAAGAAACAAAATACGTTTTATTATTCATGTTAAATCATTCATATATTTACCGCAATACGATAGACACATTTCTTGCATCAAATTAACCGATAATGATCCAGCAAACTGTTAGCTAGCTGGCTAGCGTTAAAAGTAGAAGATAACATTACCATTTTAAGCTTTATATTTACGTCATGAACAGTTAAAACTAGCGCCCTTCATGAGAAACAGATTCAATTTACCAAAACTTTATATAAGTAAAATGTAACCGAGTCTCTATCTCCGCATACGCGTGGGGTAGGCTAATATTTACCGTCTATGCTAATCACACATTGATGATTGAAGACAATTCGGATATTTATTCTTTACCAATAAAAAATATATGGCTGGCATCAAAACACAAGCACGATATTTTTATTACATGAAAACACGAGCAGAGAAGGCTTTTGCATTCTTCGTTTCGTACACAAGATGGAGACATTTCTCTCATGGATGATATTATAGTATAAAACACAATTGTTGTATTAGTTAGTGAAGTTTTGCCAAAGGTTCCAATAATGCACACATTAATGCACACAATAATGCACACATTATTCTTAAGTCTGTGAGTATTTTGATTCACTTTTGAAATGAAATGCAAGTGATTTTGTTTTGTTAAAACTGGATGAGTCAAAGTTGCACCACCACTCAAAGAGATCAGGTTGCAGAGGTAGCTGAGGCAATAGATAAACTATATATATATATATATATATATAAAAGTTGAAGCCATGTTCACATTTCTGAACATCATCTATTCAGCTATCCAGGCCTTTGGTACCATATTTTGGACAGATACAGGAGGTTGCGGGGGCAGGTCACTGTGATGGGAGACCTCTGGGACCAGCAGGTGGCACAGGTCGTGTTCACAGTGTGCATGAAAGACTGGTGAGGTCGGAGGGGCCGATGGCACAGATTGGTAGACCCACTTCTGTCAGTCTGCCCTGGGTCTGCTACAGCAGTAGCTTGATGAATTGAGTCAATGAACGAGTTAATGAATGTGAAACGTCCAGTTTTACATAAGTTACTCTAAAATTAATCTATGAGTTACTTTTTGGTCAGAACACACACATTATATAACACTGATTGTACTGGAATGGCATTAGATTTATTGTTTGCTGTTTAAGGAGCAGAAGTATCTTTTGCTTTCTACATGTGTTATGTTCAATGAGTCACTCAATCAAGATAGTCTAAAATGTACAACATAATTTTACAGCTCACAATAACAGAACAGCAGGCAGGAGAAGACTAATGGCCGACAGAAATGAGGAGCAATAAAAACCCAATATAACCAATAGGTCATATAGGCTCTATATATACACACACACACACACACGCACACACACACACACACACACACACACACACACACACACACACACACACACACACACACACACACACACACACACACACACACACACACACACACACACACACACACACACACACACACACACACACACACACACACACACACACACACGTTTCAGTGATATGCGCTATCTGCTCATTGTTGATGTGATCGTTAAATTAAACATCGCGCACGCGCTCGCAGCATGTGGGCGGGGCTAGGCTGCGCGCGTCCGTCATGCGCGTGCATGTGTCACGGAGGACTTGCCTCGAGTAGCAGTGCAGCAGGTCATCTCTCACAGGCTTCATAGGAAACCACTCCTTTTCTTTATAATCTGCAACAACGTTGAATCAAGAGACACCATGAGCAAAGTCCAGGGCGGCATGAAATGTGTCAAGTATCTGCTCTTCGTCTTCAATTTCATCTTTTGGGTAAGTGCTAATTTATGTTTGCATTAAAACCACACTGTGCATTAGGTGGAATATCATCAATATCATGTGTGAGCATGGATCTATAGTGTGTGAGCCACAGATGTTGGCTTTGCGCATGCGTAACCCTGTTTTATGTTTACATCTTCAACATAGCAGCGTACAGTATCTGTGTTTACATCAGTGCGGAGCGTGATGGTGCTGCAGCCCACATGCACCAGACCCTACAGTATTTACCTGCTGTTTGTTCTACTGGGAAACTCACTCATCCAAGACTCACTTATCATCCTACTGGCCTCCCCCTCTGTTAAATGTGACTAATAATTCATCCCGATAATCCAATAAACCACAAATCATGATTTGTGTGGGATGTAATAGTGGCATCATTACTGTTGCTTGGTTTCCACAGAGAGCTCCCACTTGATCAGTGTTTCTTGGCAGAGAGAGTAATTATTTTAACATGATAATGACTCTCCATAGACTTTTGAAATAACAATAAGTATATTTATTTATTAGTTTATTTGGATACACTGCAAAAAGTGATGAAAAAGGTCAACAATTGCTCAAATTTGTATGACTGCCCTAAAGCAAGATTTGCCAATGGGACAAAGCAAAATAATCTTGTTTTGAAAATATACAAGAAATGTCTCCCATGAAATGAGAAAAAAATGCAACAATTCTTGAAATAAGACTAAGCAGCTTGTCTCATTGTTAAATCTTGTTTTAAGACAGGCAGAATGTACTCAGATCAACACTACTGTAAATGTGTCAGTATTAGCTATACAGCACGTTTCCAACTGTAGTCAAGATGGCAAGATTTAAAATGCCAACCAAAAACACTGCAAACATCACAATCTAACATTAATTATAGAATTGATTATAACAAGTAATTAAACATGTTAAACAAACACAAAAGCCCACTTCAAATGGTTACATGCATAAGTACAACATTGTAATTAATTGTTATTCCAGGAGTGCATATATGTTGATTTACTATTAATAATAATAATAAGTCTGTTTACACTGCGCTGCACAGTTATCATAAAGCAGTAAAATCATAATAATAAAATGCATCAAAGGAGAATAAAGCAGTCAGAAAACAAGATAAATAACGTAAACATTTTAGAATTATGAGGTGGTTTAAGAACTGTTTCTCCAAGGGAGACATCTCTTGTATCTTTTTAAAACAAGATAATTTTGCTTTGTCCCACTGGCAAATCTTGTTTTTAAGGCAGTCAAAATATGCCCAATTTAAGTGCCATTTTGCCAAATTTGAGCAATTTTTGACCTTGTTTTTAATCACTTTTTGCAGTATGGGAAGGCTATTTGGTGAAAGTAGTATTAGCATATACTTGTTGTTGTGGGTTAAGATGGAAGCAGAATAATTGCAGTCCCATCCACCCACACTCATAACTCATTTTTGAAACCCAATCACTGCCCGTGTTGCGTCACCAAAGATGCTGTCAGTGACTCAAACGCACCGTGGGAGATGAACCACTGATGGAGGACAGATATATAGTACGGTAAGGGTCAAATACAAGTTCTATTTGACCTGTTTTTATAACCAACAAACCCACATTGTTTCATGTTGAGAATGTATTTCTTTCCTTTTGATTTTCTAAGCTGTAGGGGCACTTATAAAAAACTGAATAATAACAATAATACATGTTTTAACTCCTTGTTTTTTTTTTTTTTAATGATAGGCCTTTACCAAATGGTTGACATGCAGCTTGATAAGAAAAATCCCCATAACCAAGTGATAACAGAGATTCAGATTAATTCTATTTGCCATTTGCTGTAAAAACACATTTGCAAAAGTCCCCAGTGTGCACCAGACAAGTACATCAATAAAATAAGCTTAAACAGTGTGATTTTGATACAAGTGAAGATCATTCAAGTGCTCTGTTTGAACTGATAACAACTTGTGGAAGAAAGGCGTTGGCAAAACGGGATGTCCTGCCTCCCAACGAACGAGATCTTCTGCCAGAGGGAAGAAGCTGGAACATGGCTTTTCCAGGGTCCAGAAGAGTCATTGATTATTCTAAGAGCTGGATTTCAGAGGCTGTATTCATACAGAACCTACTGAACAGGCAGCTCAAAGTCCTCTCTCAGAGCGGAGCACCTCTGTCTGGTTTCTCTCTCTGGTTCCTCTCTCTGGTCTCTCTCTCTAGTCTCTCTCTCTAGTCTCTCTCTGGCCCCCTCTGGTCCCTCTCTCTGGTCCCTCTCTCTGATCTCTGCCTCTGGTCTCTTTCTGTTCTCTTTTTCCGGTCTCTCTCTCTGGCTCCTTCTGGTCCCTCTCTCTGTTCCCTGTCTCTGGTCTCTCTCTCTGTTCCCTCTCTCTGGTCTCTCTCTCTGGCCCCCTCTGATCTCTCTCTTGTCTCTCCCTCTCTCTGATCTCTTTCTGGTTTCTCTCTCTGGTCTCTCTCTCCGATCTCTTTCTGGTCCCTCTCTCTGGTCTCTCTCTGGTCTCTCTCTCTGGTCCCTCTCTCTGATCTCTGTCTGATCTCTCTCTGGTCTTATGTAGCACCTTTTTGAACATTGAAAAATAGTTGTGCACATCTCAAATGTATATTTCAGATGTATAAATCCAACTCTCTGTCAAATCACATTACTGAACATAAATTAGTATTTCCCAGCTCAACTATGCTCTCTTTTATGCCTCGAGTGAGTCATTTAAATATCTGGCAAGACTGAATAAAAGAAGACACGGTGGGAACCCAGACTGGGCCTCAAAAGAGAGTGAGACAGAACTTGACAAAATCCTCCTGCTAATGGTAATGAAGGTTGAAGGCTTGTATCTGCTGAAGGAAAGACTTGTCCTGTGCCTGTGTTGTAGCTGTCGGGCCTCCTGGTGCTGGCGGTGGGACTCTGGCTCAGGTTTGACCCGGGGACGGTGGAGCTACTCACCGGAGATGGCGCCCCAGACACCTTCTTTATAGGTAAGTAGGGCTGGGCGATATGGCAAAAAAGTATAATCTCGATTTTATTTCCTGCTTTGGACGATGTTGATTTTAAATCGATTTTCATTAAAGTCACTCAAGACAGACTTTGCCCTTAAAATATTTTTTATCTTCCCGCTCAATATTTAAGTTTAAAAACTATTTTTTTATTTGTTTCCCCCAATACATATTATAAAAGTCTTGTACAGACTGTGCTGATATCGCAAGTATAATTGATGTGCTGCTGGAACTCTCACAATATCCCTCATTCGATTTCACGATTTTCACATTTTTCACGAATTCGATTTTTTCAAAAGCCGATTAATTGCCAAAATTCGATTTATTGCCCAGCCCTATAGGTAAGCATCAATATTATACACTCAATGTGCCGGGAAGGGACCATGGATGAGGAGGAAATATATGATTCAAAAATTAATGTTGGCTGTGTTAGGAGGAAGTGTGTGAGTGTAGGTAGATGGTAGGTAGGTGTCTATGTCTATTTTTTGTATATACTTTAAAAAATATCTATATATTTTTTGTATTACTTTATTTTAGTTTATATTTAATAATTATTATTACTATTATTTTAATGTAATCTTTTCTTTGCATTATAACCATTGCCTTGTATGTATACTTGGATGTATTTTGAATTATAACATTCTATTTGAACAAAAAAAACTCACAAAACAAAGTATAAAAAAGAACTTGAACTTGAAAAAAAAGGTACATTATTATAGATACCCCTCATCTGTCATGGAGTGTTATTGCGCTTGATTTTCTATTTTTGTTGTTTGTTCATGACATTGTATTGAGTTTTGTTTTGATAAAAGAAATAGTCCTACTATTCATATCACACCAGTCAGAGTCGTCTGTGTCCATTTTCATTTGATCGTCTTGGTTACAGTGAAGGCCTTATAGAAGTCGATACAGTCATTTGCTCTGATCTGTGTCTTGTCAAACTCCAGTGAAGTGAATGATCGCCATATGTCACTCACGGATAAGAAAAACTAAAGAAAAACTAAAGAGAGACACGTCAACATTTACCAAAACAGCATCTTATCCTGATGATGCTCACAGGCTTTGTACTCAGTCGACCATTTAATTGTTCTATAAAGATCTTATTACACATATGTATTTACTTTAACAGGTGGCTGAGTGGTTAGCACTCCCAGCAGGAACAGGGCCTTTCTGAGTGGAGGTTGCGTGTTCTCTCTGTGCTGGATTCCCCTACCTCAAAAAACATGTGCAATAGCTCCCCCGTTTCTGGGGCTCATGAGAAAGAGATTGTGAATTCTCAGTGGGACGATCCTAGGTAATGGTCAATGAAAGAAAACATTGGTAGATTTGTTTAATGTCATACTATGGCCGGCAGAGTGGCGCAGTGGTTCAAGGTCCAGGGTTTGATTCCACCTTCAGGCTTTTCTGTGTGGAGTTTGCATGTTCTTCCTGTGTCTGCACTGGTTTTCTGCGGGTGCTCCAGTTTCTCCTACCACTAAAACCATGTACATTAGGTCTGGCATGGTATGGCATGGTATGGCGACCCTGCTCACATCTCTGTGTGAGAGATACGTTTCCCCCCAAAAAATACAACTGTTAGGCGCTTTGTGACTGCGAAAGGCGCTATTCAAAGAGAACTAACTACTTACTATGTGACATACTTCAGGCAAAACAATAATCCTTCTGTGACAATAAGACTGCTCTTTTTAATGAAACAGTTAAAATTAGGCATGGCCCAAACCTATATCGTAAATTTGCAAAAATGGATTTGCCTTTTTCAGAATTCAGAGAGATCTCTCTTTCTCTCTCTGCCAGCGGGAGGAGAGGAGCAAAATGAAGCCCATTCTTCTTTTCCCGTTTGCCAGACCATGACATAACTGATGACTTCACTTCATCAGACCAACGGGTTGGGGGCGCCAGGTTCTATGTGTGAAAATCTACAAAAAGGGCTGCACAAGTGCCTTATTTTATATGTAGTGAGAGCGTAAAATAAACTATTTTACACCATCCAGGGCCAGTATCTGGGAAGAAAAAACGAACCGAAAGACACACAGGTTTTACTGAGGAGGCAGAGACAGTCCAGTTCAAGATAACAAAAGGTTTATTTTTAATTTGGCAGCTTCAAATGGCAATAATAACGAGTATACGTTCACCATTAAGCACACTACATATAGTTTTGTCAGAGATATTTTCATAGTAATAATGTTGAAACTGCAATGTTTTTAGTAGATGCTGCTTTTTACACGTCTTCTGTCGACATGTTCTGTTCTTTCCAGCCAATGCATCAAGAGAGATTTTTACATAAAATCATTGCACACTTTTAAGGTACAGAGCAGCACAAGGTGAATGAATAACTAAAAATAAAAAAAATCTCTAACTTTAGCCATATAAAGATGATATTTTTATTTTAGGATTGAGTTTTGTGGCACTATTTACAATATTATATTCCATCTCTCTAGTTTATTGTTATTATTAATACAGTTTTTGTTTGTTGTCTATTTTTTCTATATACTTTAAAAAATATCTATATATTTTTTGTATTACTTTCTTTTAGTTTATATTTAACAATCATTATTACTATTATTTTAATGTAATTTTTTCTTTGCATTATAACCATTGCCTTGTGATGTATTTTGAATTATAACACTGATTTGAACTAAAAAAACTCACAAAACAAAGTATAAATAAGTCAGACTTGAAAAAAATGGTACATTATTATAGATACCCCTCAGCTGTCAAATTCGTTGAAGGATGAACAGTAACATGAACACTGAGAATTTTAAAAGGATCTGGTTATTTATATGTGGACAAATAAACATTAGCTTATGTTTTCATATTTTACACTACTTTTTAACTTCGCAGAACTTTCAACTTAAGAGACGGCATTAAAAGCTCAAACTGATCGAGCTAAAACTAACAATTATTTTTGATAATCAATACACCTAGAAAATATTTTTTTGCTGTTAAGAATGTGAGGTTTGTAAGCTCAGAAAAATCTTACAAATGTGATATACATTTGATTAAAAAAATTCTAATTTTCTAAAATGTGTTTTATGTGGGGTTTTACAAGCTGTGAGCCGATTATCAACAATATAAGAAAAAGGCTTGATATCAGAATCAGAATCAGAATCATTTTTATTGCCACGTAAGTAACAGGAGGTCACAGACTAGGAAATTGCTTTGGCTCAGTGCAACAGTCAAAAAGAGATAATAAAAATAAGAATAAAAAACACTTCTAAAGAATAAATTTAAATTTAAAATAGAGTTACAGTTACTATTTACAATATACAAGTGCACATGGTGCACACAATGTAAGGTGACAGCAGTACAGTGAAGTAAAGTGACGTATGATGGGCAGTAAAGTGACTTTATAAAGGGCGGGGGGACAGGTTAAGAAGTGTTCAAGAGTCCAACAGCAGAGGGGAAGAAACTGTTCTTGTGGCGGGAGGTTCTAGTCCTGATGGACCGCAGCCTCCTGCCTGAGGGGAGTGGTTGGAATAGTCCATGTGCAGGGTGAGAGGGGTCGGCTGTGATACGACCAGCCCGGCCTCGAGCTCGGGCGACGTACAGGTCCTGCAGCGATGGAAGGCTGCGGCCGATCACTTCCTCTGCAGAGCGCACAATGCGCTGTAGTCTCTGTTTGTCCCTGACTGTGGCTCCAGCGAACCACACGGTGACGGAGCAGGTGAGGATGGACTCGATGATGGCCGTGTAGAACTGCACCAACATCTGTGCAGGCAGCTTGGCTTTCCTGAGCTGCCGCAGGAAGTACATCCTCTGCTGGGCCTTCTTGATGAGGGAGCTGATGGTCGGCTCCCACTTGAGGTCCTGGGTGATGGTGGTGCCCAGGAAACGGAAGGACTCCACAGAGGTGATGGGGGAGTCCATCACGGAGGGTGGGGGCGGGGGGACAGTGCTCTTCCTGAAGTCCACAATCATCTCCACTGTCTTCTGGGCGTCCAGCTCCAGGTTGTTACCACTGCACCAGGACACCAGCCGGTCCACCTCCCTCCTGTAGGCGGACTCATCGTTGTTGGAGATGAGTCCAATGAGGGTGGTGTCGTCCGCTTTCACTTTCTTATCTGATATCTGATATCTTTCACTTTGTAGGGAATCTGTCATGTCTCAGTTGAATTGAAGACATACATTATTTTTTCTGTTGAACTATGTCATAATTTTCCAAGTTTTCAGTAATAAACACGGCTTGAGGGCATTCTAACAGCTGAGAGTGTGAATAATGAAGTTGATGCACAGAGAGACACATATCTCCCTCTGTGTTAAGTCAAATATGCATCAATTCAACAACAAAAATTATACTTTGCAAAATGGAAGCCACAGAATCATTTTCACTGCAAAAAGGGTTAGGGTTAAAAATTGCTCATATTCAGGATAATGTATTATAACTTGAGGACATTCCGACTGCCTTAAAACACGTTTTGCCAATCGGACAAAGCAAAACGATCTTGTTTTAAAAAGATACAGCTTACACTAATAGCAATGTATTGTATTGTTGTTGTTATTATTATGATTATTATTATTATTTACATATGTGTGCGTGTGTGCGCGTGTGTGTGGGTGTGTACGGGTTATAGACATTGACACGGTAATACTATGACACTGCCCGTCTGTGCCAGCCCGGTGCGCGGATAAAGGCTGACATCTACCAGTGTCCTGCGCTCCGCTGTCCTCCGGGGGCCCCGCAGGAGGGGAGGTTACCATGCCCAGGCTCTTTTTTTTTAATGCATCACATAGATTTAGACTGATTTAGGGGGAGAAGAAGGAAAAATAAATAAATTAAAATAAAATAAAAATAATAAAATAAAAATTTATAATAATAATAAAATAAAAATAAAAATGAATGAATAAATAGATAAATATAATAATAACATGAATAATATGAATAATATGTGCATATGTGCATATAATGATAATACACAAGTCAGGGTAAGCGAAAGCTTATTTTAATGCATGACACGTTTAGTTAAGAAAAACACATGGGAAAAAGGAACAAAATAAGAGGGAATGGGCCGGGCGTGGGCTCCCTCCCCCCCTTTTTGGGGTGGGGGCCTGCTTGGGGGTCTGTGTGTGTGTCGGATTTGGTTTTGATGTTGGCTGGGTTCCGCTTAGCTTGGTGAAACTCAGGCGGGCAGACTTTATATCTTATCTTATCTGTGGGGTGTATGTGTGTGTGTGTGTGTGTGGAGTGTGTGTGTGTGTGGAGTGTGTGTGTGGGTGTGGAGTGTGTGTGTGTGTGGGTGTGTGTGTTTATGGGTGTGTGTGTGTGTGTGTGTGGGTGTGTGTGTGTATGTGTGGGTATAGACCATAGACTGTAAACATCATAGTATAGTTCCCCCCCCCCTCCTATGTGCCCTTCTGGGTTTCTTTTTTGGCCCCCTGTATCTCCAACTACATATTGTTTGTAATCTCTGTCTACAATGTATCTGAACTAGTCCTTTTCTTTGTTTCTAATTTTTTTTTTCTGTATATGTGTTTGTCTGCAATAAAATATAATAAAAAAAAATAAAATAAAATAAAAGATACAGGAAATGGCTCCCTTGGAATGAGAAAGTAAAGGTCAAGTTTATTTATATGGCAAATTTTTAATAGACATGACTGTCACAAAGCGCTTTCCAGACATTACAAAATACATCACACAAATAAAATACAGCATAAAGGTAAAATACTGGTCACTATCATAAATGTTTCAATACTGCTTGTGCTAAAAAACCAAAGCAAAGTAATGTGTCTTTAGCTGCGTTTGGGCCCTGCCACAGAAAATGCTCTCCTCTGGTTTTCAGTCTAGACCTGGGACAGTGCAGAAGAAGTTAGTCAGACAACCTCAAAGCTCTTCCTGGAGTAGTGTTCAAAGTAAGCAAATCAGTGAGAGATGATGCAATCATGCAACAGTTGTTCAATTCAGACTAAATGGCTTTGTCCCGTTGGCAAATCTTGTTTTAAGACAGTCAGAATGTTCTCAAATTAAGATAAAATCCAGTCTATTGAAGCCTCATATTGTATCATTTTTTGCATAAACGTTGTGCATTTCTGAAAAAAAGGTCCTTCCTTTGTTTAATTTATGTATTGCTTTGCTATTTTGTTTTGTTTTGTCACTTCATACCATATACATACAGTCATAGTGTGGTCATGAGCAATAAAGAAGGACAGAAAAGAGATCTCATTATTATCATAAACAAGGGACAAATTACACCCTTCACATTTATCATTTTCAAATACAATAATTTCTCTCTGAACCACATATCTGTCTGTATTTGTATATATTTATGTATGTATATAGAGCAGTTAAAAATGACTAAATAGCTGTGGCTTATTGGAAAAACTCGACCAGTTGTGAATCCTTGTCACAGCCCTATGAGCAACATATTACTGTGTGTGCTTGATGCTTATCTACGACAACTGCACGACTATTTTTAGCCGCTAAATATCACTGGAGTGGAAGAACAGGATGGAAAACAAATCTCTACCTTTAATTCTTTCTTCTAGAGAGGCGTGTATAGAGACCTGTGTCCGTAACTTCTGTGATCACCTCTCGTTCGTCACTTCAACAGTGTATATCTTTGTCCTGAGCTCCACGGCAGCAGCAGCAACACAACAACAGACTGTGTCCTACCCCTTGTGGATTAATTAAATTGCCATGGTGGCTGCTGTCGATGGCACTGATGAGGCCCAGAGCAGAGCCCTTGGGTGGGGTGGGCGACCGGATGGTGTTTGGTTTCAGAGACCTAGTAGTCAGGACGGGGAGTCGGAAGGTGACGACATCGTAGCTGTAGAACAAAGAGAATATCTGAATTAGCTTTGAGTAAACAGGCGCATGGAAAATGTAGGTCATTTGAGATACGTGCACTGCAAAAAGTGATGAAAAACATGTCAAAAATTATTAAAATTTGGTTTAATGTATCTTCATTTGAGCACATTGTGTCTACCCAAAAAAAGATTTGCTAATAGGACAAAGCGTAATTTCTATTGGTTTTAAGAATATACAGGAAATATCTCCCTTGGAAAGAAAAAATAAAGCAACAGTTCTTGAACTAAGACTAAATGGTTTTGTTCCATTGATTAATTTTGTTTTAAATTAGTGAGAATGAACTCAAATTAAAACTCACTTGATTCAAGCATTTATCACCTTATAATTTAAATATTTTTTTGCTGTGTACTATCACGGCCATTTGTTCTCTCAGTCCAGATGAGGGGGGTGGCGGAAACAGGAGCACCCGGAGGAAACCTACTTACCTCATATTTTATCATTTGTTGTAGTGTATAGTTGAGTTGGGGTTCTTGTCGCAAATAATAACTGTGAGACAGGTTCACCTTTCATGTTTTAATCTTGTGTTTTAGGATAGGACACGTTTAGCCGAAACATGTCTCACAGTCATAAGATAAAGATGAAATGATCTTTTATTCGTCCTAAAGCGGGGAAATGTCAGTGTTGCATCACCAGCTATAGAAATCTCCAATGTTAGTTGTGGAGCACTGTCAAAGACGACATATTGTCCATTGCAGGCTTCCGTAGTACCCTGGTCTGCTACATAAGATCTCAATGCTAAATTAAGTATAAATTCTGTAATTTTAACATAATAAAGAAGCAACTGTAAAATACTGCCCTGGAAAAAATCTCTTAAAAAAACTTAGAAAAACATAAATGAAAATAAGTAAAATACTGCTTAAAATAAGAAACATTATCTGCCAATTGAACAAGAAAATATCACTTTCTGAATTTATGAAGATTGAGAAAATAATACTAGCCTCAATTGACTTGATTCTAGTCAAGTCGTTCCACAATAAACATACATTTAAAGTATTATTTACTTATTTCTTCAATATTTTTGAAAAACGTTTTCTTAAAATACAGCATAACATATCTATTTCATCTAAACAACGAGAAATGTTTGGAAGTAAGAAAAAATAAAACAAGCATTAAAAACTCACTGCTCTGACTTTTTTTCTCTAATAAGAAGTATCATAATTATATAGTTGCATGTATACATCTGTTCATGTTAGCAGCAGGAGGGTCTGCGACAGTGTGACAGTGGACACATGTGGTTCTATATATCACATTCTGACATGAGTTGCACAGATAAACGATATAGAACAAAACAAACTTGAAAGCGCCGATGTGGGCTGATGACATTGTGCAGTGGGAGAAGGAACCATAGCTGCTATATCGCCTCCTTCCTACTCGAGATAAAACAACAGGCCATTATTCTGCTCCCACGAAGCTGAGGTTGGACCGGGACAATGCTGCCCTCTGCTGGTGAAAAGTTCAGATTCACAAAAGGACCCTTCTCAAAGTCATGTGTTTGTTCCAGCGGTGTACATTCTTCTGGGGGCCGGCGGTCTCATGATGGTGGTTGGATTCTTTGGATGTTTTGGAGCTTTGCGGGAGTCGCAGTGTCTTCTTGCTTCGGTGAGTGTTATGATAAACATGGATTCACATTGTCCAGGCCTTGTCAGGAGCAGAATTTTAAAACAAAAATGCAAATATGGCAAAAGTGATGACAAATTAGACAAAAAGCATAATTAAAGTCCACTAAACTCATTTTTCATTTGCATTACCGCCTCAAACTTTTAAATATTTTGCCCGACAACCTCCTGTCAGTTGACACTATCATAAATTAAAGTCATTCAGGAGGATTTTCTACTTCCGAGTGGATCATCAAAAATTACAAACGTTAAGGTGATACGTACAAGACCAGAGAGTTTTGTTCAAAAAGTGGAGAGGGTGTTTCTTTACATAATTTAACTATTCTTTAACTTGTGTCCAAAACTGGAAACAGGACACGCCCCCGGTCCACTCCATCTTAATGAGAGATATAATCGACATTTTCAACCACTGAAAACAGTTGAAAAATACATATTTTATTTGTTTAATTTTTTTTGTCTGTTCTCAAAAAGATAACAATTACATTAATGGCAATTCCTATATAAATGTTTTAACATTATGCAATATTGGAGTATTACACACTTGTTTTATTTGAAAAACTCAAACAAAGAGATTAAAAATGTGGAAAAAAAAGATGAAGAGATCCTTTTATTCATCTCACAGTGCGGACATTTCAGTGTTGCATCAAAAGTTAAAGAACAGTAGGAATTGTGTATATGCTGTGTATCGCAAAATAACTGCTGAGTGAGCTTCACTAGCTTTAGCCATTATTTCATTTAGTTTATTTTTTTGTGTTTTACCATTTATTTATTATTGCCATAAGGGGAAGGAATATGTACAGTATATATAATGTCTATCTTCCACATCATGTCATGGTTCTGAACATTTGTGTCTTGATATAATGTGGAATTGTGTGACAGATTGTTTGTTTTTGAAAAATGTTAAATAAAGTTCAAGTCATAAATAAAAAGAACAGTAGGAATGAGGAAGATAAATTAATAATAACTCTATGCTTTTTTATTTTATTTTAGAATAAAGCTTAAAAAGAAGCAGTATAAAATCTCCAACATTAGCATGATATATTACTAATTACCATGATGCATTAGAACAACATGTAGGACCATGTTTTCCAAGATATATTTATTATCTATGCTTTTGTTTCAGTTTTTCGCCTGCCTTCTGATCATCTTTGGAGCCGAGATCGCAGCCGGAGTGTTCGGTTTCATGAACAAAGAACAGGTAACTTATGTTTATATACTGTATGTTTCTATCATCACTCTGGGTTATTTTTACTATTTTCTCACTAATTATGTGCGTTTTTTTACGGTACAGATTGTGGAGGAGGTTCAGAAGTTTTACAGCAGCTCCGTCACTGACAACAACAACGTGAACGGCACCGCGATAGCAAAGATTTACCACAAAACGGTGGGTTTTTGTAACTGCTTTGTCTTCTGTTAAAAAACGTCACAATATTTATTACAAATGTATGTGTTTCTAGCTGGACTGCTGCGGCGGCTCCACACCTGATCCAGCTCTGTGTCCGGAAGAAGAGGCCGACAAAAAGGTCCTCACTGCAGTTAACGATAAAATATGACGGAATAAATGCTTAATCTTAATTTGGGGATTTTTATTTTATTTAATATATAATTCAGACACGCACAGAGGTCCATAAGAAACAAGAACTGAACAAAAATGGAGACAAAACAACACACAATCATACAATATTTACAACATTCTGTATAGACTGTTCCTCCAATGCTTCCAGAGTTCAGAAGTGATAAAAACATTAGTCAAAAATGGCAACAATGTGGAAAAATGTATCTTAATTTGATCACATTCAGACTGCAACAATGAGACAAAGCAAAATGACTGTTTGCTGTCACCAGATGGCAGTAATGGTTAGCAATGTCTTTGTGGAATTTGGAACAGTGTTGTGACTTGCCTTCTCAGCCTTTTAGGAGCAAAGTAGCGGGGTAGGTTCATGTTCAAGAATTCTATCTAAGTTGTAGTGTCGATACAGCTTCCTCTTTGTGGGAAAGAAGCATTCGTGAAAGAAATGAAAAAGTAATATCTCCAAATATTTCCCCCAGATCTGTACTTGACACTGATTAGATTAGGTGACAATACCTGCAGTATTTTTCATACGTGTAAAAGTAGTAGAAGTAGTAGTATCAGTAGCAGTAGTAGTAGTAGTAGTAGTAGGAGTTTTCTTGTCATTATGAACATTAAATCTTTGGTCACATGTTTTTAAAGATATTATATAATTGGGGGGAAAAAAATTCTTGTGGGGTCTATCATTGGTACACTGCAAAAATAGATGAAAAATAAGTAAAAGAAATCCTCAAATTTTGCAAAATGTATCTTAATTTGATCACATTATAACTGCCAATTTATATTAAAATCTCCACATAACAGTTGACATTTATTGACAAAAAAGCCATGGAACCTTTTAAAATATTTGTTCTTTTGTTTTGTGTAGATTGCTCCAGGGATTACAGAAATATCTAAACTAATACAAGAAGTCTGGCTTTAATAATTATATGTATTTTTTTTTATTATTTGCTACTATTTTTTCCTCTTTTTTTAGCGGTGGTTTAACTCATCCTAACACATAACCTTCGTGAAATAACCCTCTGCACCTCACGGGTTAAATTCTTACTGTATGTGAGAATCCATCCAAGGGCGCGGTGATGGAGCATAGCATTAGCATTGAATTATAAAAATAATTGGGATTTTTGTGTCAACATTAGTCATTGCGGTGAGTGCTGATGAAGTGTGAATAATTATCTGTTTCTTTTCATAGGATTATAGTGACTTACTGTTTTATATCCTTTACTCTCTCTCTCTCTTTCTACAGGATTGTCTCACTGCCATTTCGGATTTTCTCAATACAAAGCTACACGTTATTGGCTACATAGGCATCGGCATCGCTGGAGTGATGGTGCGCGCGAATCAGTAAAAACACATGTTGTTTTGACTTTCTTATTATCAATATTTCTTCACTTATTTCAGATGATTGGCATGATCTTCAGCATGGTCCTGTGCTGTGCCATCCGGAACAGCAGGGAGGTCATATAACACAGCCATGCAAGGGGTGAAAGTATATTTGTAGTATATTTGTAAAACCTTTTTTGGACCAAACACTCGGAAATACACTGGACTTTTTTGACACGTTTGAAACTCTGCCACCAGCACAAATATAACACAGCCTACAATGGTACTTTACCTTACTTTGCATACGCTCTCTTTAGTACATAGATGTGGGAAGTTGGGGATGGGGAAGTGATACAATAAAACATTTAATTCAAAAAGAAGCACCAGCAACGCCAGGGAAACCAAAATAAAAAAGATGGTTAAATAGCATTAAGGCGACCCGTTTGTAAATCACTGGGGCAAAGGCAGAGGTGCGTTACTTGAATTTATTATATGTTGTATATTTTTGTTCAGGTTTCAGAATTCATAAAAATCCCCAAAAATGTGTTTTCATTTACACTTTAATTACTACTAAGTGATTCATACTGCTTTTTTTCATCTTTTAAATTGTAAAGCTTAAATACAGCTAAACTAAATGCTAACTGATGCATGTAAACAGTGTGTTGCTACGGTAACTAGCACTTGCAAGCACATCGTTCTGGAGAGGCCATGTCCCTTCCCCAGACCTGAATATTATAAAAAATATCAAAACAACAAATCTCAGATCAAAACGAGCTGTCCAGGCTCAGAACCCACCAAACCTGACTGAACTAGGGATTTGCAAAGAAGAATGGTCCAAAATTCCTTCCACCATAATCTGGACTCGAATTTTAAGTTATAGGAAGCATTCAGAGGCTGTTTTTTCTGCAAAAGGATGTACAAAATATTGAGTTGATTTTTCTTTTCAATCAATCATTTATTTGTATAGCACAATTTGTGTATAAAGGCAATTCAAATCACTTCGCAAGAGCACATTAAAAATCTAAATGCACAAAGAAAGTCAACTAAATAAACAATAATTTCAAATTCAAAACAGAATTAGGCTTAAAACAATGGGTTTATAAATATAGATAAAAGCAATAAATAGAGGCTCAGGGGCGACTGGCTCAGTTTGTAGAGCATCGGTCTCTGAGTCTGAAGGTTGTGGGTTCAGATCCCCCTACATGACCTATTCCCACTGATGTCTGCTGTCGTTGTGTCCTTGGGCTAGAGATCTGAAATGCTGCCTCCCCATTTTTCACATACTTTAGTTCACTTCTCAAATACTGTATAATAACTGAAGTTTATAACCATCCATCCATGATTAAAAAAGGAAAATCATAAAAATGTAACTTTCTCACACCACTTCTATGTAATGTACCTGCGTGTTCTTTTCTGTCCTGGTTTAATTCACGGACTGGCGTTGCTGGAACTATTTTGCACACAAAGAAATAGTTTTTTGTCACTTGCCTCATAGAACATTCTGCCAGATTCTCTCTCGTCAAACTTCAGTGCCTGTCATCAGCTACTCAACAAAAACCCAGCCTTCACAGGAGATGAATGTTAATGTTAAGACTTGTAAAAACACACACACAATAATTACTGTATGGACACCTTTTTCTACTTTTTTTGACTCTTGTGTGATGCTCTGAACAAACTAGTGCCTGTCGATCCACACAGATTTGCCTCCAGCTATACTGCACTTTGATCGTTTATTTGAAAATATCTTTGTTGTTGACTCTAGATATATTTACTAAAGCACGGGGTGACTACACTGCAAAAAAATAAGTCAGAAATGGTTTAAATTTGGCAAATATGCATCTTAATGAGCACATTGTCTGCCTTAATTTTGCCAAATGATTTTTTTTTTAAATGATACAAGGAATGTCTCCCTTGGAATGAGAAAAAGTGAGTCATTGGCAAATATTAAGACAAGTCAGAATGCACTAAGATTACTTATTTACCATTTATCGTTTTTTTGCAGTGTAGACTCTTTCCAGATATTGTGCATACTGATGTAAATGTAACGTTACTGTGACACTTTCCCTGTTTGAAAATCTGGTGTTCCTTATGTCGTATTGGTGTGATGAATAAGACATTTGACTAATTAAAGTACGGTGCTTTAATTCCATGCCTCTGTATTTTCTAAGACATGTTGGCGCTAAAGGTCTGCAGCAAGTAAGGTAAGTTCTTATCCTGCCAGATTTGTATAACATTTACCCCACTAACACTTTTTACTTGCTGGCCTTATGAAGCTACAGCTAGCTAAGAAGGATTGCAGCTACGTGCATTATGTGTCAACATCAAAATGTTCCCACTGTAGGACGAAAAGGTCCTATAAGAATAAAACAGACACGTTAACAAAACCATTAGGCATCATGTATATTTAATTTAAACACTGTACAAAAACCTTTACATATAAAACCTTTCACATATGATGGAACCGTTTTTGCATTTTTGTCCAAGAGCATCATCTCCACTCTTTCAAAACAGAAATGGAACAAAGACCACATAAATATTGTAACAGACAAATGAGAAAATAATCCATATTTTGTGACAATATAATCAAGTATAGAAGAGGATACAGAACTCTTAATGGTCCCAGTATAAACAGAAGGTTGATGACCAGACGCAAAGTAAACTTGAAATGCTGTATAAATGTCAGCGAATTGCAATAATTATATTTAAAACCTTTCTTTGAAGTGTTATAAAAAAGGTCACAATCAAAAAGTACTGCAAGCCACTGCATCCAGTAATCAACAGAACATGTGGACAGACACTTATAAATGCTTTACAGAGCTCCCTCATGGAGGGAAGGATTCTGCCGTTTCAGAGACTAGAGTGACAGAGTTCCAAACTGGCAAGGCGAGCTGGAAGTGCAAACATTGGCCCTGGCCCCACGGAGAAAGTCACAATTATTTAGTGCAACAAGTGTCAAGACTGAAGGCTGAGGATTTAGAAACCTGAAGCGCCGCCAAAGTAAAGACTCTTCATAAAACAAGAGAAAAGTAAACCAGTGGTAGCTGCCAGGTTTTCAGTTGATGATCTCTCTTCTGCTTCAACTTCAATCCAGTAACCTCAGAGGAGAGTTATCAAGGATGTATTCCCCGACTCCCACAAAGTACATGACCTGCGCAATTCCAAACAGCGGCGCGATAACTAGCGCTCTGCAGCCGGCGCCCTTCAGGAACGCAGACGGTCCTTCTTTCCGCAGGATTTTACTGAAGAACAAGAAACAAATGTTTATATCATTGTTAAAAACACAGGTTTAAACAGCACATGATTCCAAGCTCACCTGATGCAATCCATAACCCCATTGTACGACTCTTCACTCGCTCCTTTGTTCAGAGACTGCAGTCTCGTCTTCACCACTAATAGAAATAAAATAAAGGTTAAAACTAATTTTTAGAAAAATAAAATGAGACAAATTCCCCAAGAGTCAAATCTCACCATCACAAGGATTGACAGCAACCGCAGCAAAGGAGCCGGCCGCACATCCAGACAGGAACGCCCAGTAGAACGGAGAGGACCCATCTGCGTTGGGTTTCCCCAAACGGTTCAGGTTTGCAAAGAGCGGGAAGTACACGATAGAGAACGGCACGTCCCTGAAAGAGCATAGAGTGAGCAAGCTTTTCTAAATTAAAGTAATGTTTTTGTTACACTAATGCAGACCTCATGAGAGTGGCCCCCAGGCCTCTGTAGAGCCCCTGGATCCCCTGTGTCCGAAGCAGCTCTTTGGCGATCTGTGTGGCAGACACGGCTCGCGGAGCCGCCACCGCAGTGCCGGAGTTATAGGAACGAGTCAGAAGGGTGTTCGTGGTCCCAAGCTTTGTGGGAGCCATCATCACAGGCTTCTGTTGCTGAGCAGCTGTGGAATGGTGAACACTCTGTAAATGCTTTTGAAAAACTATAAATATATTGCAGATTCATCACTTTGTTACTCACAAACTCTTCCAGCGTCCTGCAGCTGGATCTTCAGCATCTCCATCGGAGTCGTAACCACCACCTGACACATGCCGGCGCCGCAGCCGGCCAGCATCTCTTTAAACACATTCAGGCCTTTTCTGTATGAAACAAACATGAGAATTGTAAATGATAATAATAAAAAACTGGTTTTATATAGCGCTTTATTGGACCCTCCAATTTGTGGCAACAAGGTAGTGCCATCAAATCTTACACACACACACACACACACGATGTGGCTTTTCTCATGCAGGTATGTTTAACAATAAACAGAGTCTTTGGACAGTACTGACCCATTATTGGCAAGGTGCTGACGGAAGAAGTCATTAGCAGCCAGTTTGATGGCCTTCTCAGGAGTGACCAGCGTGAGGTTAACTGCGGCACCTGGAGAAAAAAAAGTTTGCCTTAACAGGAGAGTCCACAAAGTTTTATCCTTTTCAATTGTTCCCTCCATAGCCATGACCCCACCCCCTTATACAACACCAGTCATTTTCATAACATTGTAACTAAACAGTGTAAAAAGCTTGTATCTGTTTATATGAGGGACATTACACATCATGGTTAGAATGAAAATGAAACGGAAACAAAATGAAACGGAAACAAAATGAATGAGAAACCACTCAAGAGAAAAATGGAGATACTACAGGAATGGAATAATACAAGAACAAAAAGACCATAGAAATGTTAGTGGAAAGGACACATGACAGGACAGTTTTGTGAGTGCAGACTTTAGTGTATTCTGAGCTACACTAAAGTCATGCAGTCCTGGAATTGGGAAAGTTATGAGACAGTGATAGGACTCAAGAAATGTCAAAAAACAAAAAAGGACACAAGATGGCAAAACATGAAACGTGTGCCTAGAGTTTTAAATAGAGCAATATTGTAAGAACCATTGAAATGATTTGCCTCCAGCGTGGCTGCGCCTTATCGGCTAGCCTTCAAAATCCCAGGGGGACCCTCGTCTGTAATATGAAAAACACAGATGCAAACAACAGCATTCCTCACAGAAGCAGAGGTCTAATCTTTAGCAACTCAACTAAACCACTTCCACAGACAGAAGTCAATTCTATGACCAAATACATGATACCAAATAACTCGACTGTTTAGCGATTATTCGAACATTACTCATACAAAAATATTTAGGAAAATTGTTTAGATATTAATGTTTTCATGCAAACTTGTACTGCAAAAAGTGATGGGAAATAAGTCAAAAATGCCTCAAATTTGTTCTTAAAATGAGGCTAAATGGCTTTGTCCCATTGGCAAATCTATTAGACTGTACTCAATTATGATAAAAACCACTCTATTGAAGCATTTATTACTCCAAATGTCATCATTTTTTGCAGTGTGATCCCCTAGTTTTTTTTAAAATATATTTTTCTTAAGCTACTTGTAAATACGTCAATAGTAATCCAGCTAAACAGACAGTTCCAGATATAAGAAAATCTAGAGTCGAGAAAAGAGTCAGTTGTAGCATAGTCTTACCTCTGTACATTCCAAAGTAGCCCTCAGTTCGCACAGTTTTCACAAGGCAATCCAACCTGGCGGGGTAAAGCAAATACATTCTTGTTAAAACCACCGAAAAGAAACGAGTCGATTCATTGCACCTCAGTAAATGCATATGGTGAGCAAAGTCATGGGGGTTATGTGTGTAACCCCCATGAGTCATGAGTTGCCATTACATTACTCATGGTGCATTCCACTGCTGCTAGATTTACACGGTAAACAAACATTGCACAAAGATGGCAGTGACTTACATGTTCTTATACACCAGCTGGCCTGCCCTTTGATTCTGTAATCTGGTCTTTGCCAAGTCAATGGGAAAGACACAAGTGACGCCAACTATGCCTGCAATTCCACCATTGATGAGCTTGGCAGGAAGGCTGGAAAGAGAAGAGAAAAAAATATTAAAATTATTCAATTAAATGGACAATTATCAACATTTATGGAAATTGGTCATCTGCCACTTATGGTTCTATGTACTCACTATACAAGAATAAATTGAATTGAAATGAATGAAAACATTAAATCCTTACCTTATCTGCTGTTGAGACATGATGAGAAGACTTTGAGATGTACAAAATAGATACTTGTAGAGTACTTCAATATGTTGCGCTGGAATGAGATAATGGAATTATTTGGAAGTCCCAGACAGATTCTAGTGCACCGTTAGGTCCGTGTGAGCCTTATCCTTCACACAGCGGTCCTCTTATCGACCTCCGGCAGGTCATGGGACATAAGTACAGCCCCGGGGCGTGGCCTACGACACATACCGGAACACCATATAAGGGCAAGCCCCCCTGCCCCGCCTACTCTTTAGACGTTAAAATATATCTTCACACAAGACAATAGTGATGGGCATCGATAGAACATATAAAATCGATTAAAGACACAACATCAAAAGCCTGCATTTTTCGGAAGATGACTGATGCATCTGTTGGTACCAAATTCATAACAAAACATGCATATTTTTTCCGAAACCGAATTAAAATATATATGGTTTTACTGGAGCAGCTAACTGCATCTGTAGTTAAATGATCAAAGTACAGCTATTATGAAACTTTTTTTAACGCATTTAGACAACATTGACACATGAGGAAGTCACACCCGCGTCAGTCTACAACCGGGGCCTGTGTGAAAGCTTCAGTCTCTGATCATAGACTTCAATTGCAACAGATTTAAAACATATGAAACTGCACCCAATAAAACTCTGAGAGAAATGGAGTAAACTCACCTTAGAGTTAAGAAGTTTCGAAGTTTCTTGGTGTTTTTTATTTGCTTTTGGTCCTTCCGTCACGATCAGAGCAGAGTGAATGAGAGTGAGTAAAGGCACTGGAAATTTCCATTGAGTTTTAAGCCGAGAGGCGGACCGTGGAGGACCGCCTTGAGCTCGACTAGTCCCGCCTCCACAGTCCCTCCTCATTGGCTGAAACTCATTCTCCCCCTAACATGATTGGTTCTTCACACAATACTCTCTTGCAACAACGATGTAACGCATAAAGGTTCTTTTCTTTATCTCTTTCTCTTACATTCAATTCTGTATTTGATAAGTTAAGTTGAAAGATAAGTTATTTAGGTTGTGAATGAATGTTTCAGCATGATATCCATATGTCCAAGTTCAAGAACAACACATAACTTACGTCCATGATGTTTCTGTACGTGCGCAGAACATAGATTTAAGTTATTTGGGCGTAGTCCAGTGTTTATTCTACGAAATCCAGAACGTTCTACTGATCCGGTTCTTAACTTAAACAAAGGTTGGCAGTCAAATGTAGGTTACCAAGAATATTATATAACCTCTGTGTGTGTGTAGGCACTGTTGTTATGTACAGGCTGATACAAGCTTTTGGGCCACAGACCATGGAAACGTTTGTACTTAAGTAAACAACATTCTTACACAATTATTATACAAGTTTATGCTTGTAATATGGTTGATTCTGAAACCAAATTACTTAAGTTAAGAATGAAAACGACAACTACACTGTAAAAAATTATAAACCATGAGGTATCCTGGAATCAAGTGGGTTTTTATTATCCTAATTAGATAATTGACTGTCTTAAAACGAGATTATAGCCGATGGGAGAAAGCTATTTTGTCTTATTTCAAGAACTGTTGCTTTATATTCTCATTCCAATTGTGATTGTCCCATTGGAAAATCTCCCCCCTGGACTGCCACCTTAACGTGGTTGGGGAGTTTGAGTACTCGGCCTCGGGTGATCCTGGGAGCCATGCTGTCTGAGGCTTCATGCCCCTGGTAGGGTCTCCCATGGCAGACAGGTCTCAGGTGACGAGTCAGACGAAGAGCGGTCCAAAAACCACCATGGACAGCACTAAAATGAGACCAGTGACGTCGCCCGGCATGGCGCAGCCGGGGCCCCACCCTGGAGCCAGGCCTGGGGTCGGGGCTCGTATGTGAGCGCCTGGTGGCCGGGCCTTAGCCCACGGGGCCCGGCCGGGCTCAGCCCGAAGGGACGACGTGGGCAGTCCCTCCTGTGGGCCCACCACCTGCAGAGGGGTCCGTGGTGGCGCGGTGCTAAGAGGACTGGGCAGCAGTCGAAGGCGGAGACCTCGGCGACCCAGTCCACACACACAACATCTGGCTCTTGAGACGTGCAATGTCACCTCACTGGGGGGGAAGGAGCCCGAGCTCGTGGGGGAGGTCGAGCGATACCGACTAGAGATAGTTGGCCTCACCTCCACACACAGCTTGGGCTCTGGAACCCAACTCCTTGACAGGGGTTGGACGCTCCACTTTTCTGGTGTTTCTCGCTGGGAGAGGCGGCAAGCTGGGGTGGCGGCAAGCTGGGGTGGCCATACTAATTGCCCCCCATCTCAGCTGCCACGTGTTGGAGTTCTCCCCGGTGAATGAGAGGGTCGCGTCCCTCCGCCTTCGGGTGGGGGACAAGTCTCTCACTGTTGTGACGGCCTACGGGCCTAACAGCAGTGCAGAGTACCCGGCCTTCTTGGAGTCCTTGGGAGGGGTACTGGACGGTGCACCAACCGGGGACTCCGTTATTCTCCTGGGGGACTTCAACGCCCATGTGGGAAACGCCAGTGACACTTGGAGAGGGGTGATCGGGAAGAACGGCCCCGCTGATCTGAACCCGAGCGGTGTTCAGTTGTTGGACTTCTGTGCCAGTCACGGTTTGTCCATCACGAACACCATGTTCGAGCACAAGGGTGTCCACCAGTGCACGTGGCACCAGGACACCCTAGGCCGGAGGTCGATGATCGACTTTGTTCTTGTATCATCTGACCTTTGACCGCGTGTCTTGGACACTCGGGTAAAGAGAGGGGCGGAGCTGTCAACCGATCATCACCTGGTCGTGAGTTGGATCCGCTGGCAGGGGAAGAAGCCGGTCAGACCTGGCAGACCCAAGCGTATAGTGAGGGTCTGCTGGGAACGTCTCGCTGAGCCCCCTGTCAGACGGATTTTCAACTCGCACCTCCGGGAGAGCTTCTCCCAGGTCCCGGCGGAGGAGGGGGATATTGAGTCTGAGTGGACCATGTTCTCTTCCTCTATCGCCGATGCGGCGGCTCGTAGCTGTGGTCGCAAGGTCTTTGGTGCTGGTCCCGGCGGCAACCCCCGAACCCGGTGGTGGACACCGCGAACCACCGGACTCCTGAGGCAGCTGTCCAGTACCGGCAGGCCAAGCGTGCTGCGGCCCAGGCTGTTGCAGAGGCAAAAACCCGGGTCTGGGAGGAGTTCGGAGAGTCCATGGAGCATGACTATCGGTCGGCCTCGAAGAGATTCTGGCAAACCGTCCGGCGCCTCAGGAGGGGGAATCGGTGCTTTGCCAACACCGTTTATGGTGGGGGTGGAGAGCTGCTGACCTCGACTGGGGATATTGTCGGGCGGTGGAAGGAATACTTCGAGGTTCTCCTCAACCCCCCCGTCACGTCCTCTGCCACGGAGGCAGAGGCTGAGGATGTTGGGGCGGATACTTCCATCTCCCTGGCAGAGGTCACCAAGGTGGTTGGCAGCCTCCATGGTGGCAAGGCGCCGGGAGTGGATGAGATCCGCCCCGACTATCTAAAGTCTCTGGATGTTGTGGGACTGTCTTGGCTGACACGTCTCTGCAACATCGCGTGGCGATCAGGGGCGGTGCCAATGGAGTGGCAGACCGGGGTGGTGGTCCCTCTCTACAAGAAGGGGGACCGGAGGGTGTGTTCCAATTATCGTGGGATCACACTCCTCAGCCTCTCTGGCAAGGTTTACTCCAAGGTACTGGAGAGGAGGCTACGTCCGATGGTCGAATCTCGGATTCAGGAGGAGCAGTGTGGTTTTCGTCCCGGCCGCGGAACACTGGACCAGCTCTATACTCTCCATCGGATACTCGAGGGTTCATGGGAGTTCGCCCAACCTGTCCACATGTGCTTTGTGGATTTGGAGAAGGCGTTCGACCGTGTTCCCCGGGGTGTTCTTTGGGGGGTTCTCCGGGAGTACGGGGTCCGGGGTCCTCTGCTGAGGGCCGTTCGGTCCCTGTATGACCGGAGCCAGAGCTGTGTTCGCATTGCCGTCAATAAGTCAGACCTGTTCCCGGTGCATGTTGGCCTCCGCCAGGGCTGCCCTTTGTCACCAGTTCTGTTCACTGTATTCATGGACAGAATTTCTAGGCGCAGCCAGGGGCCGGAGGGGGTCCGGTTCGGGAACCACAGGATTTCATCTCTGCTGTTTGCGGACAATGTTGTCCTGTTGGCTCCAACAAACCAGGACCTACAACATGCACTGGGACGGTTTGCAGCCGAGTGTGAAGCGGCTGGGATGAGAATCAGCACCTCCAAATCTGAGGCCATGGTGCTCGACCGGAAAAAGGTGCCTTGCCCTCTACAGGTGGGTGGAGAGGTCCTTCCTCAAGTGGAGGAGTTCAAGTATCTTGGGGTCTTGTTCACGAGTGAGGGAAGGATGGAGCGTGAGATTGACAGGCGGAACGGTGCAGCGTGCGCAGTGATGCAGTCGCTGTATCGGACCGTCGTGGTGAAGAGGGAGCTGAGCCGAAAGGCAAAGCTCTCGATTTACCGGTCAATCTTCGTTCCCTCCCTCACCTATGGTCATGAGCTTTGGGTAGTGACCGAAAGAACGAGATCGCGGATACAAGTGGTCGAAATGAGCTTCCTCCGCAGAGTGGCTGGGCGCTCCCTTAGAGATAGGGTGAGGAGCTCGGTCACACGGGAGGAGCTCGGAGTAGAGCCGCTGCTACTCCACGTCGAGAGGAACCAGTTGAGGTGGCTCGGGCATCTGTTCCGGATGCCTCCTGGACGCCTCCCTGGGGAGGTGTTCCGGGCACGTCCCACTGGGAGGAGGCCCCGGGGAAGACCTAGGACACGCTGGAGGGACTATGTCTCTCAGCTGGCCTGGGAACGCCTTGGGGTCCCCCCGGACGAGCTGGAGGAAGTGTGTGTGGATAGGGAAGTCTGGGCGTCTCTGCTTAGACTGCTGCCCCCGCGACCCGGCAACGGATGAAGCGGAGGAAAACGAACGAACCATTGGAAAATCCTGTTTTTATCAAAATGTGCTCAAATTCAAATACATTTGACCAGATTGATACGTTTTCATATTTAGTAATAGTCTATTCCATCATCTTTATCATAATCTAATGAGAAAAGTACATTTATCCCTGATGCAAGAGAATCCTAGATAAAAGAATGTTCTTAGATGTAGATTCCACACACACATACTTGTATCACACATTCCACATTTTACATTGTGTCCAGTCTTTCCTTACGGGTGAATAAACACAACACAAACAAATCCTACATTTGCCCAAAAGCCTGCATCACTGTGGCTGCGACTGCTGAGGGAGCAAATTCCATGTCAGGTCCTGCATGATCTGTTTGGGTGTTAGCGTTTCTAAAACAAGAATTCAAACCATCTAAGAGCACAAGCTATATGCAGGGAACAAACTGAAGATGGTTTATGGATTTCAAATGGAAAAGTGCATTCATTCACACAACAATAATGTGTAAGTTTGAATAGACGGCCTTTATCTTGTTGGTCCAAATCTCTACAGCTCATTTGGGTTTGGTTTTAGTTTCATTTTACAGAAGTTTATTCTTAGGGTCTCTGGGGGGCACGCAGTCCTCTGGTTGGTGGGCCATCTCACACTCTGCTTTGAAGTTTGCTAGTTCAAGACCACAACACTACCCCAAGCCAGACTTCTTCAGCCTTTACACAAGTTTTTACTTCCAGAACCATTCGTACATAAGACTCATACAAACAGAAGACACCTGATTGTACAATAGCACTGCAAAAAGTGATTAAAAATAAGTCAAAATGTGTTTACATTTAGATAATGTATCTTAATTTGAACAGATTCTTCTGCATTAAAACAAGAATTGCCAATGATCTTGTTTTAAAAAGATACAATATTACTCCCTTAGAATGAGAAAAAAATCTTCAGTTATTAAAATAAGACTAAATGGCTTTGTTCTATTGGCAAATCTTGACTGAGAATGTACTGAAATTAAGATAAAGACCACTCGATTTGAACATTTACTACCTCCAATTTGATAATTAACTTGACTATGGTACTTGGGCCAAAGTCACTTTTATATTTTAATTGTTTAATCTTGCACAAAAATAATCTTATATAATTTTTTCTCCCACCAGTTTTAGGTGAGTGTTTTTACCAAAAGTATTTCCATTGTTCAATGTCACAGTCTGGTGGTAATAATATTATGTACTGGCCCGGTTCAGCAGCGAGCGTGCAGAATGTGGCGCTGTCCACGTGCCTCTCACAATGACCACTGATGTAAATATAGCTGCAGCCGGTGACGCGCTGTAGTGTCATGGTCTCGTGGAGGTTAGTTTGTAAACACGGCTACGGTACCAGACCGGATGTGATTAAGTCAAGCCCAGATTAGTTCTTTTAATCCTTCCCATTTAATTAGAAGTCATTTACAATACAGATAATAGGTTCTATATCCACATGTATAAGTGCTAAAAGAAACAGGTCACATCCTGTTATAAAAAGTAGTAAAATAATCCACAATTGATACATCAATGACCACTTTAAAAAGGAATAGAGTAATCAGTTTGACCCAGATGTGGGTAGATGTGACGAATTGGCTTAGTGCAACTGGAGAGCCCCAGTTGAGCTGAAGCAGGTCTGGTCCTGTGGCCACACTCATGGTTCTCAGTCCTGCAGGTTCCACAGTGGCAGCTCCGAGCCACAGGATAGGTAAACACAGCATTATCAGCACAGCCTGGAAGAAGCGCCGTACGGTACTCCACTTTGCCATATATACAGCTTCTTTGACTTTGAGAAAATAACGGACCAATCGGACTCCTCATAATGCTGTCCTGGAATCATAATGAGAAAAATGTCAGAATGTGCGATATAGAACCACATGTGTCCACTGACACTTTGTCCCACACCTTCATGCTGCTAACATCTGCACACACTTGCTTCTTTATTATGCTTAACTTAGAGAATGTATACTTTAGAAACTTTAAAATTTATTTTTTAGACTTGCTTCTTTATTAAGCTTAAGTTATAGATTTTACACTTGCTTCTTTATTATGCTAAAGTTAGATAATTCTATTTATCCTCTATTATTTATTGTATCGCTATTGCTTTTATTCATGTATTGTGTGTTAGTTCATTTTAGTTTCATTTTAGTTTCACATTTTTGTGTTTTACATATTGTATTGTTATTGTATTGTTTTTAGTGTACCCAGTGTTTCCTCTGGAGGAGCCCTCTGCACTGGGAGCAGTGGTCGGTGTGGCTGTGGGGGTCGGACTCTTGGACCTGGTGGGGGCCTGGGGCCTCGGTTTCGGGTCTCCTCTAGATCCTGTGTCGTCCCCTGTGGCTACAGGCGGCTCTCTGCTCCTGGTGCAGACGGCTCCTAGGATGACGCTTTTTCAACTGGTTGCATCTGAACCCTGCCAAGTCTCTCATCATTGTTTTACTGTTTTACTGTGTGTGTGTGTGTGTGTGTGTGTGTGTGTGTGTGTGTGTGTGTGTGTGTGTGTGTGTGTGTGTCAGAGAGTGTGCATGGGAGCGTGTGTGTGTTTGTCTGTGGTTTGGGATGGGTCTGTTGGGTGGTCGGGGGGAGGGGACATGGGCCGGCGGGATTGTTTTTAACCAAACTGTAAAGCACTTTGTGTTGCATCTTTTGTATGAAAAGCGCTTCATAAATAAAATCTGATTGATTGATTGATAATTGATGTTATGTTGGTATAGAGTTATTGGTTATTTATCTTGTGTGCTCCTCCTTCCTACTATTTTGTAACTGGTGATGCACAGATCCCACAAAAACACTGAGACATAGCAACATACAACCTTCATCAATGTCACTAAAAAGAATTACATACCATTGTGCGGCAATAGCCCATGCAAATCGTGGTGTTGATGGCCACGCAGAAGCTACATTCAGGCTTCTCCACATAGAGGGTGAAGTCGGACGGGAGGCACGTGGAGCAAGCGGAGCTGAACATCAGGAGAACAAGCAAACTGCCAAACGCTGTGGTCTCCATGTCGCACGAGAGAGGTTCAACTCGACGGATCACCTGAACGATACAAAAAATGATAAAATATGAGGTAATAAATGTTTAAATTGAGTGGTTTTTATCTCAATCTGAGTACATTCTGATTGTCTTAAAACAACAATGGGACAAAGCAAAATTATCTTGTTTTAAAAAGATAAAAGAAATGTCTCTCTTGGAATGAGGAACTAAAGCAACAGTTCTTGAAAAAGGACTGAGTGGATTTGTCCCATAGGCAAATCTTGTTCTAAGAAAGTCAGAATGTTCTCAGATTAAGCTAAAAAACACTCAATTCAACAATTATTACCCCATATTGTATAATTTTTTGCAGTGTGTGGTAAGTTTCCCAGCACTCACCTGTCTTGGAGATGGTCTGACTGAAGAGCCCAGCTGTGGGAAGAGGATGGAACACTATTTATGAAGATGTTAAAGGTTGATCTCTATTCAAACCATAGACTGTAAATATGAATATTCACCCAAGCAATAACAATCTAAGATCGTTCATCAGGGAAATGACATGTACAATGTAAAAGGCCTGTTTCTCGTGACGCATGTGAGGAGAATGTGCATATGTTGATTTTGTTCCAGAACAAAGCCTAGAGCATTTCATTTCAGTTCACAATGGCAATGAGCTCCTTTTTAGGAAGATATCAGAAAGCACACATTGAATTAAGCAGTTTCTACGTTAAATTTAGATAATTTTGAAGTTCTTAATAATTTCAAAGCTTTTAGTACTGGAAGTGTAAACGCTCGCTCATCTGTATTGTTGGTCTTGGTCTTCCAAACTTTGTGACTTTTTCTGTTTCTATCTGTAGTTTATTTCATGAAGTTTTCCTTTATTTTTTTTAATGTGACCCTGGAAATACTACCCTTAACTAAAATAAAAAAGGCAATTTCAGTTTCTTGATAACCAACATTCTATTGAAGTTAAAGCCCCTCATGGTGCTGGTCCTGGACCGGTCCTGAGCCAAGTCAGTTTGGTTCACAGAAAAGTGAGCATAGTTACACCATAGCATAGCAACACGTTTACGTTGCGGCAGTTTGCATTTGGTCGCCAGTTTCAGTTATTTTCACCTGTTTTAGCACTTACTAAAAGTGACTAAAGACCGAAAGACAGTAAATGGGTGGAAAAGTAAACATTTTTTGGGGGAATTTCTCAGAATCCCGTTGGTTTTCAAAAGGGCAGTCAAAATGACGGCTCTTGGAGTTCTAGTAGTTTCAGAATTCTGGGAGTCCTAGTGTTAAAACAAAATGTATCAATTATCTAAGCCGCTTTAGTCTTGATTACATGTCCATCAACATTTTACAAAATGAAGATGTCAACTTTGAACCATATTTGACTTTTTGCAGTCGAGTTTTTTCAACCAGTGTGAACTTGGAAATAATTTTCTATCACCAAATTCAATCAATCAATCACATTTTATTTATAAAGCGCTTCTCATGCAGACAATCTAGTCATGTAACACTTACACAAACAATCCATCCATTTTCTTCCCCTTAATCCATTTCTGGGTCTAGGCGGTGGCAGTCAGAGCTGCACCCAGTGCACATGGCACCAGCCCCTCACTGATCCTCCTGCAGGTGGTGAGTCCACAGGAGGACAGCTGCTCTGTCAGTGACTGCAACTAACGATTATTTTGTAATCGATTAATCTATCGATTATTTTTACGATTAATTGAGTAATCAATGAATTGTGTAGAAAGAAAATATTTTTTCATCACAAAAAGCTAAAGTGGCAACACTCGAGGACGTATTGATGGCGTAAACTTAAAGTAAATGTTTGTAACAGGCTCTTTGTGCAAATTCTGCTATCTGATTGGATGAGACAGACAGATATTCATGAAATTATAAAAACAAAGTCGGTTTTAATCAAAAATACTACATTTTCATGTCATTTTTTCTCTGTTTGAGTCTGTGTGAACCAGAAAACAATTAATCGATTACTAAAATAGTTGTCGACTATTTCAATAATCGATTAGTCGTCGATTAATCGATTAGTTGTTTCAGCCCTAGTGACAACACAGCCTTGATCTTTCAGCAGGGGCTTCAGGCAGTGCAGTGGGGGTTAAGAGCTTTGCCTGAAGGACACAACAACAACAGATATCAGTGGGAATCTTGAAGTAGGTCTAGTGAGACAACGTGTTTTGATTCTCAGGGCAACCAGCTTAAACATTCTTTTCTATATTCCCCATTGTGCCTCCGGTTAATCTACTAGGCCGAGACCTTATGTGCAGACTCAATTAAAAATAGATAAATAAAAGGAGGCACCGGTCCCAAAAGTTAACTACCACTGGAAATTGACACCAAACCCTGAGATTGCTAAGTTATTAGCCACAACAAGTGGATAGAGTGACGCCCGCACAAAATTTGGAGGTCAACCACGCGAACGACCTAAGCTGCTCTCTCCGGTCGTTCCCAGACAATAACTTAGAGTTAGAAAATTCATGGCTTCAGTGTAGTAAAGATAGGCTACAAACGGAGTATGTTTATTGGGATAGGCACCACGCTATGGTATTTGTGCGACTTAGGCAAGGCAAGGCAAGGCAAGTTTATTTATATAGCACAATTCATACACAAGGCAATTCAAAGTGCTGAACAAAACAAGAAAGCATTAAAATCATAAATTATCACAGAACATTAAAAAGAAAGATAAAAATATAAAATCCCTCAGTTGTATGCACAGTTAAACAGAACTGTCTTTAACCTGGTTTTAAACATTGTCAGAGAGGAGGCCTGTCTCACATCTTCAGGAAGATTGTTCCAGATTTTAGCAGCATGAATCTGAAAAGCAGCCTCCCCATGTTTAGTTCTGACTCTGGGCACTAACAGGAGTCCAGTCCCTGTGCTCCTCAGAGTCCGGGCTGGTTCATATGGGACTAACATGTCACTAATATATTTTGGTGCGAGGCTATGGAGAGACTTGTACACAAGCAGAGCTGTTTTAAAGTCTATTCTCTGAGCCACAGGAAGCCAGTGCAGAGACCTGAGGACTGGACTAATGTGGTCGTACTTCCTGGTTCTTGTCAGGACTCGAGCTGCTGCATTTTGAATGTACTGCAGCTGTTTTACAGCCTGTTTGGACAGACCTGTGAGCAGGCCATTGCAGTAGTCTAACCTACTGGAGACAAATGCATGGATAAAAATCTCCAAGTCTGCTTTAGACACTATGTTTTTGATCCTGGCAATGTTTTTTAGATGGTAAAAAGCTGCTGATGTTACTGATTTGATGTGGCTATTAAAATTTAAGTCTGAGTCCAGTATTACCCCTAGATTTCTGACCTTGTTTGAAGGTTTTAGGGAGAGAGACTCTAGGTGACAGATGACGCTCTCTCTTTGTTTCTGGGGACCAAAGACAATCATTTCAGTTTTGTCTGCGTTTAGCTGAAGGAAGTTGTTTTGCATCCACTCACTGATCTGTTGGATACAGTGAAGGAGTGAGTCCACTGGTCCATGTTCTCCTGCAGTCAGTGAGACATAGATCTGAGTGTCGTCTGCATAGTTATGATAGGAAACTTTGTTTCTGCGTATTAACTGACCTAACGGCAGCATGTAGAGATTGAACAGAAGAGGTCCCAGGATCGACCCCTGTGGGACTCCACAGGTCAGGGCCATATGATCTGAGACACAGTTTCCAATCTCCACAAAGTACTTCCTGTCTTCAAGGTAAGACCTAAACCAACTTAGGGCGGTGCCAGCGACTCCAACCCAGTCCTCTAGTCTCTGTAAGAGGATCTCATGGTCGACGGTGTCAAAGGCAGCACTTAGATCTAACAAGATTAAGATTGAGACTTTGCCTGCGTCAGTGTTCAGCCGGTTATCATTTGTAACCTTAACGAGAGCAGTCTCAGTGCTGTGGTGGGGTCTAAAGCCGGACTGAAACATATCAACTGAGTTGTTGATTATAAGAAATCTAGTAAGCTGTAGGTAGACAACTTTCTCAAGGACTTTCCCCATAAATGGCAGATTTGAGATGGGACGATAGTTGTTAAGTACCGTAGCATCGAGACTGCTCTTTTTTAGCAGGGGCCTGATGACTGCAGTTTTCAGGGCCTTTGGGAATATTCCAGAATGAAGGGACATGTTTACTATCTGTGTGAGTGAAGGTAACAGACTGCTCAGAACAGACTTCAGAAATCTAGTGGGTAGTACATCCAAGCTGCATGTGGAGGAGCTCAAACTGGAGATTATCTCTTGGACAGTTTTATCATTTACAGGTGCAAAGTGAGTTAGCTCAGAGAGCCTTTCTGGCTGTTGGATGGTTATCTGTGGATTGGAGACAATGGCGCTTTTGATGCCTTGAACCTTGTCATTGAAAAAATTAGCAAACTCATTGCATTTACGTTTGGAAGTAAGCTCTAATGGCATTTGAACAGGGGGGTTTGTTAATCTATTAACTGTTGAGAACAGAACACGCAGATTGTTGCTGCAGCCTTCAATCATTTCAGAAAAATACCTTTCTCTCGTACTACGTAGCACCCGGTTAAACTCGCACAACTTATCTTTGAAGATCTCGTAATCTACCTGGAGGTTGGACTTGCGCCACTTCCGCTCGGCCCTCCGGCACTTTCTCTTTTGTGCCCTGACCGAGTCTGCTTTAGCCCACGGCGCCTTCTGCTTATTTTTCACTATTTTAACCTTCACAGGGGCAACGGTATCCAGAACATTCAAAACACTAGAGGTGACAGAGTTAAACAGTTCATCTACAGTAGAATACGATGCATTCTCAAAGTTTATCATTTCCATAAATAGTTAACTCGTATTTTCATTTATGCGCCTTCTTTGAACAGTTGCAGAGTCCACTGGTGGTTTGTTAGTGAAACACATGTCAAAAAAAACACAGAAATGATCCGAAAGAGCAACATCGACCACGTTTACATTTGAAATAATCACCCCCTTTGTAACTAACAGATCTAGAGTGTGCCCTCTGCTGTGGGTGGGGCCACTTACGTGCTGAGTGAGATCAAAGGATTCAAGTACAGAACTCAGCTCATTTGCATTTCTGTCATCAACATTATCCACATGAATATTAAAATCACCTGTAATAACCAAACTATCAAAATCTGTGCATACAACTGAAAGCAACTCGGTAAAATGATCAATAAAACTGTGACATGACTGCGGTGGCTTGTATAGGACAACGAAAAGTATTGGAGGAGATTGTTTTTGTTGTATTTTAAAAGACACATATTCAAATGACGAAAACTTCCCAAGAGACATTCTATGGGAGACAAAGTGGTCTCTAAAAATGGCAGCTAAGCCTCCTCCTTTTTTGTTTTCCCGTATTTCAGATTCAAACTTGAAATTTGGTGGTGATGCTTCTATTAAAACTGCATTTTCTGAATTTTGGTCAAGCCAAGTTTCAGCCATGAACATAAGATCAAGATTATGAGAAGAAATAAAATTATTGATTAAAAAAGACTTGTTACAAAGAGATCTGACATTAAGCGTAGCAAGTTTCAAAGTTTCAGTATCAGCGGTTGCGGTCGGCTGATTCTTACACGGAACAAGAATTAGATTTTCCAGATTAGACTGATTAACTCCAGATGTTTTTCTGTAATGTATTCTTTGTGTTATCACTAAAGGAATGGCACAGGTGGCTTCATGACAGGGCCCCAGCCGGGTCTCTCCTCTAACTAGACTGCCAGTGGCTGCGAAGCAGAGACCCTGTGCATCCTAGTGTTTAGAGAAAAGAGGGGAAGGGGAAGGCACGGGAGGAGGATGGAGAGGTGGGTGGCTTTTGGGTGTTGAACGAGGGGGGCAGGGAGGTGGAGGGGTTTTAGGTGATGGGTTAGGGCCGGGGTGGGCTGAGGCAGAGGTTTTGGATGTTGAACGAGGGGGAAGTGGGGGTGGAATGGTCATGAGGTTAGGGGAGGGACTGGCTGAGGTGGTTTTTGTAGGTGAATTGGAAACCCTAGGTGGTTTTGGAGGTACATATGGGGAGTGGTTTAGAATGTTACTAACATGAGAATGACTTTGCATTGTTCATAAAGGATGCAGTTTCATATTTGACACTTTACTTATTTGTGTCAGAATGTGCAATATAGAACCACATGTGTCTACTTTACTCTTCTTTATTTTGCTAAAGATAGAGATTTTATACATGCTTCTCTTTTACGCTAAAGTCCGAGATTTTATTTTATTTTAGAATAGTTATTGTTCATTTATCTTGTGCTGTGTATTTCCTCATTCCTACTGTTCTGTAACTGTGATGCAACACTGACATTTCCCCCTGTGGGACGAGTAAAGGATCTCCTATCTTACTCTCAATTTGAATCAATTTCAGATGGGGTGTGGATGAGATTTTATTCCAACTGAAGAGCTGTGTGACGGCTCAAATACGTTTGGGAAACACTGTTCTAGCCTGTTGTGTGGTAGTTGGTAACACACAAAAAAACTATTTAGAAAAAACAGCAGACAAAACGGCTTTTTCAATAACCGCACCAAAGGGGACAAACATCTTTGTTTTCCAGACTTTTACTTATCTGGTCAAAAGCTGGGTGTTTGCAGCAAAATTAAATACTTGGGTCACATCATAACTGACCGACTCTGTGATGATGATGACATTAATCGCCAGTGTCGTAAACTGTACGCTTAAGCCAACACCTTAGTGCGGAAATTTCACATGTGCACAGTCGATGTTAAAATTAAACTGTTTAAAATGTACTGTTCACCTCTGTATACAGCTCCACTGTGGAGCAGATATAAGAAGGCTGCACTACAGAAGCTCAAAGTTGCCTATAATGATGCTTTCAGGATTCTGCTGAAAAAGCCCAGGTCCAGTAGTGCTAGTCTGCTGTTCTGTCAGAGTCGTGTGAACTCTTTCCATGCTCTCATGAGAAATATGATGTACAGGTTTATATGCCGTCTGAATGTCAGTGAGAACTATTTTGTGCGGTCTCTGGTGAACCCCAGTATGAGTTCTGTGCGCTACCAGTCAGCTCTGTGGAAGCTCTGGTACAGTTTTCTTTTATGACTGTTTGTCTGTTGTGTTTGTGATGTGTTTGTTTGTTTTTTATGGACTTCGAGTCTGATAAATAAAGATAATAATAATAATAATAGGAATCAGATTACTTAAATTTAAATTGGCAAAAAATATTTCCTTGTGTCCGTTAGCTGCACCAGACCTTCCACACACACAAACATGGCACGAAAGGACTTTAACCTACATTTTAAGCTTCTCCAAAACAAACTTCATGAAACAGTAATGTGAATAAAAATTAACCAGATGGAATTCCGCAAAATACGCAGTAAATTCACGTAATGATTTGCAGGGTAATTCACCTTAAGCTCAGTCAATAAAATATAAACATTAGTCAGCTTTTCCCACATTACAAATAAATGTTTCCTTTTTTTTATTTTATTTTTTTTAAACCAAAAAAACCCCAAATGAATGTGAACAATGCCATATCAACACACTGGTCACTTATTAGATAAATGAAAGGCTGTGACCGTATTCCAAATCGTTGTATGTTTAAGGGCAGCACGGTGGCGCAGTGGTTCTCGCCGTGTTCCTCCAGGCGCTCTGGTTTCCCCTACCACTAAAAACATGTGCATGCGCTTCCTGGATAGTGACCCATCTCTGTGTGGAGTGAGAGGACCAATGAACATGATCAAATATGAGGTAATAATTACTTGAATCGAGTGGTTTTTTATCTTAATTTGAGTATATTCTAACTCTGTCTTAAAACAAGATTTCCAAATGGGACAAAGCCATTAAGTCCTTTTTCAAGAATTGTCAAGAATTTAATTTCTCATTCCTGGGGAGACATTCAGATTCAGATTCAGTTTATTTGCCATTTGCAGTAAAAACACCACATTGGAATACATTAGCAAAAGTCTCCAGTGTGCACAGACAAATACAGAAATAAAACAACATTAAAAGACAGAAATAAAACAAATAAAACAGTAAACAAATGTCACTGTGAAATCGATCGACTAAAACAGTTTCAAAACAAGTGCATTTCTAGAATCTTTTCAAAACAAGATCATTTTGCTTTGTCCCATTGGAAAATCTTGTATTAAGGCAGTCAAAATTTGCTCAACTTAAGCAACTTAGCAATTTTTGACTTATATTTCAACACTTTTTGCAGCGTAAAGCGCTTTTTGACACTGGTGTGTGAAACGTTGCTATAGGAATTTAAAAAAAAATTACATCTCTATTTTACACCTTTTGGTTCCCAATCTTAATCTTGCTTGTACAGATAAAGGTTACCAAACATATGTATTCTAACTATATCACTTATATCATAATAATAAACATTCTTCCCACAAAACTGATGAACAAAACTAATTACATTGTCATCAAAAAAGGATTTGCACCCAGAACCCAAAACTTTGCAGCTTAGTGACTCATGTTGATAAAAGTGATACTAAAATGTCGTCTCATTGAAGTACAAGTACAAAGTGTTCAAGAATTGTTAAACCTGCGGTGAAGAAATGGCGACTTTAAACATATGAAACAAGAGATTCCTTCCAGTGGTTAAGGAGGAAATGAGTCAAAGTTTACAATGATAGCTATTGGCTGTGAAAGGGTAACTCGAGGACCTATAAAACAATGTAACGTATTATTGCTCAAAGTAAGTATGTTTTTACAAAAGACGTTGGTATCTGAATCATGTGCATTGTTCAGCTTCCTTATTTTATTTCATTTTTCTATTTGTAAAACAAACAGGAGAAAGAAATCATGACGTGGTTCATTCTTGGAAGAAATGAGATGTGACTAAAACCCTTTCTATAATATTTTACAAAGTAAAATTAACCAGTTAAGGATTGTCACATTTCATGAGCTTCAAAAAAACTCCAGAGTGTGTCCTTGATGGATGATTAACTCGACACAATAGCTTTATAGTGCTTCGACATGCTTGTCTCGTCATTTTCTTTGACAAGGCAAGAGCATCCATGGACAAGAATACTTTGAACAGCTTTGAAGAACTGGATTTATATTATGCTTTGTTTGTTCTTTTACTTTTTTCAACCGAGTAAACTTGCGACCTGAGAGTTTCTCTTATTGCTTTCCTATTAAAACAAGACGAGTAGATTGTAACTGTTCCTCTTGGTCGTCATGGTCGGTACAGGAGGCCCAGTTGACACTTTCAGTGTTTGGGATTATGTGGTTTTTGCTGGGACTATTTTGGGAGCTGCAGGCGTTGGGCTTTTCCAGGCGATTCGAGGCCGAAAGGAGTCCAGCAGTGAAGAGTTCTTGTTGGGGGGACGACAGATGACAGCGGTGCCAGTGGCCATGTCTCTCACTGCCAGCTTCATGTCTGGTATCACAGTCATCGGCACACCTGCTGAAGCTTACAGCTTTGGCGCTGCCTTTTGGCTTTTTGGATTTGCATATGCCATCATGTCTATCATCACAGCAGAGATATTTGTGCCTCTGTTCTACCGACTGGGCATCACCAGTGCCTATGAGGTAAGTTACACATGCAGAATGCGAAAACAAATTATATTTGACATGGTTTGGACCAGATGTCAGTCCAAATAATAAGCCATATTCTTTGTGAACAAATAGAAGACAGTAAATTCTCTCATGTACCTATGTAATAATGTAATTGATGTGTTTGTGTGTAGTACTTGGAAATGCGCTTCAGTCGACCCATTCGTATCATCGGGACATCAATGTACATTGTACAGACGGTAAATTGGAACCTTTCATTATCTTTGAAGTACATTTACTGTGTGCTACTGCTGCTGCTGTTTTTTTCAGTTGCTTTGACACATTTCCCTGAACAAGAGCAACAGGTCAACACAGGTCATCTCTGTTTACATTTGTAAACAATAACTTTCATTATGAAACCAAACACTGATTAAAGCACACTCTGATTCTTTAATGAAGGATCAAGGACCTTATTAAAACCCAACTGCTCTTCAAACATAGGGGAAACACATTGCACATTTGGATTATATACTCTCACTGTTGTTTGTAGAAGCTGAAACTACAAAGTAGTATTCTTTATGAGTGAAAATATTACAAAATGTATGACATATGTAAACAAGTTTCAAAGGAATACCAAAGTTCATTGAGCATTACTTTGAAACAACAAATCCAATTGGATCTAATGCATAAGAAAATGAGATGCTCAAAAGAGAATACAAAGTAGGTTTTTATAGAAAACTTCTCTTAGAAATGTCTCTGACTGCATGGACAAAATATATGACTCATGTGTGAACTATGTGCCACCTGTATGTGACATCTATTCTTTGACTTAGCATCCATCCTTGAGTCTGACATGTGCTGACACTACTGTGTTTTCTGTGTTATACACACTACACTAAACAATACTGCATCAAATCAGTGTCGCTTATCAAACATTAGCAGGAATAATAGTTGGGTGTTGTTTTTATGGACCAACGGTTGAACAAAGTGTACATAAAACAGGATTGTGCTAGATTTATTGCTTTAGCAAAGCTTCTACATGACTTCACAGTGGCTGACTTACCACGGTCTCTCTGCATGGAGAAATAGGGATCCATACATATTTATTTAGTCATGTGTTTTTAGGATACAAACCACGCTACTCCTTGTTGTTTAATGCTCACTAGGAACAGACGTTTGAATTTGTCTTTCATATAAAACTGTGGCAGTAAATTCTAGCCTGCAATAAATTGCAGGATAGAAAACACACTTATCTATATTGTATCAACTAATCAGTATTATGACAGGCAAACATAATGAATCCACCTCACGCTCAAACCTACAACATCTGTAGGTTTGAGCGTGACAGTTAAAAAATAACTATTGAAATGGAATAAAATTTCTCACTTTAGCGTAATAAAGAAACAAGTATAAAAATCTCTAAATTTAGCATAATAAAGAAACGTTTACTTAATCCAAAAACATTGATCCTTATGTTACTCAAGTAAAACTATTTGCTAATATTAAGAGTGCGAGATGAATGAGAAAAGTAATCAGGGATAATATAAAAAAAACTTGTATTATTATTACAGATCTCAAGTCTGCAATGAAGTTATCTATCAATCTGTGATTGTCTTACTATAATTGAAAACAGCAGCTGTTTATCAATGTAAAGCTCTTGTTTCAGTTAATATTGATGCAAGCCTGTTTTTCTGTCGTCTAATTAACTAATGTTTTAAAGGCGCTCTACACTGGTCTGGTCATCTATGCACCAGCACTCGCCTTGAATCAAAGTAAGCAAATTTGTTGTCAATAACTTTTTGTTATGTGAATAGAGCAAGTACTAAGTACTTCTGTGTTGTGTAGTCACTGGACTGGATCTATGGGGAGTGCTTGTGGCAACAGGAGCAGTGTGCATTCTTTACTGCACTTTGGTTAGTAAAACATCTCAATTCTAGATAAATAAAAATATTCATGGCAAAGATAACGTGATGTTATTGAGCCTCAAATAAGTTTCATTCATGTTCTAGAATTGTACTTCAGTTGGAAAGCTGGTGCCAAAACAACTTTATGGGAAGGAAGTAATTATTGAAAGAAAAGTTGAAATGGCGTGACGTCATTTCCTGTTAACAAGGAACAGCCCGTTCACTTCCTGCCTATGCTTTCCTATGGCTTTTAGGTGGGTTTTAGTGACGTTTTTTGTAATTAGATTGATACATTCAGCTGTGAGACTGACCCAAAAGTGTCGCTGTGCTTTCTCTCTGAGGTAGAGCTTTGACTGTGGCCACTCAGAGAGATTTGTAAACTTTATAAAAACACAATGACAGCACAATCAAAGAGCACTGCTGTGTCCCAAAAATGCCCAGTGTCCTCACAGTTTAATTCCCGTTTGAGCATTATTTGGGAAACTCGTGTAAACCACTGCTGAACTCCAGTGAAACTCAAGCCATTTCCCGTGAACAGGAAGTGAAGTAGGGTAGTAGCTAAAACGTGGAAGTGGTGCGTGCATAGAGCCCATACACGTTACCCATTAAGCTGCTGCACATTGGAGAAAGACACATCTCACACTTGTCCACATAAACTCGGATCGCAAAGAGCACGATCCATGCTCGAACTGGTGGGTGCTACAGTAGTCGAGTGTAAGAGTGTAAGAGAAACGGAAACTTAACTCGGATCCTGAGGTAGTCGCTGAAGATAGTATTAACGCCACCAGTTGAACCGAAAAAATGAACCCTTCTGACTGCCGGCCGTCTTCACACCCGTGGCAACGATCCTTGGTTTGCTTAGGAAAACCTATGTGACACAAAGCTTAAGCGGAAGTTCAAATTGTTAGACTACCTACGTCATCACACTGGGCCCACGCCATCCTCAGCCTCACATCAGCTTCATTAACTCCCTGCCAGTCGTGCTAATCAAGCCAGCGCTTAAAAGCTGGACACCGCACACCAAACATCCTTCAAGCCGCAACCATCTGCGCCTCAGGATTTCTTCACTTGCTCACATCCACCTTGCCCTGTTACCACCACCAGTGTCAAGATCCCCGGGGGATCAAGATATGCACTCAAGCACAGATCCTCACAGAGCAAGGTCACAGTGCCTGTGCGGCAAACTAATAAACTGCAAACAATACTCGCAATCAATAAATCTTTTGAACGCATCTTGTCTCTTGTAGTCTCCCCAGATTGAACATGCCCTTAGTCCTATTTGCAAATCTTGTTTTTTACCAGAATGTACTCAGATTAACATAAAAACTATTTCCTTCTGTGATGTAATATGAACGCAACCTAGTAAGCTCCCTTCACTTTTCATAATATAGCAGAGGAAACTTTTATGAACTGTGTTTTTTGTCACAGGGAGGTCTAAAGGCGGTGATCTGGACCGATGTGATGCAGATGGTAGTGATGCTAGCTGGATTTGTGGCAGTAATAGCCAGAGGTGCCGTGCTCCAGGGAGGCTTGAGCCAGGTGTGGAAAGACGCAGAAGAAGGAGGACGTCTGAACGCGTTTGAGTGAGTACAAGAGTAGAGGACTCGTCACAAAACAAATCTATAAACAGTAACATAGCATGTACTTTGTGCTTTCTATCTTAGCTTTGATCCAGACCCTCGAAAACGCCACACGTTCTGGACAATTGTTTTTGGGGGCAGTATAATGTGGGTGTCCATATACTCGATAAACCAGTCTCAAGTGCAGCGTTACATCTCCTGCAAAACGCTGAGACATGCAAAGATGTACGTGAAAGCTTAAGGTGTGAAAACAATGCTTGCACGACAGATGAGTACTAACATATGGAATGCTATCTCTCAGGTCCCTGTACGTGAACATGGTTGGACTATGGGTGACTGTGAGCCTGGCCATGTTATCTGGACTCACCATGTACTCCATATATAAGAAGTGTGACCCACTTACAAATAACGATGTCACTACTTCAGATCAGGTAACATGTTATTTATTCAATCATTGTCCCTATTCAGCTTTATTAAGAGTTCACATAACGCCACTGTGAGGGCCCTAAAAGAAAGCAATGAACATTCTTTTATAATGTATTGTTATTAGATAATGATGAAAATTAAAATTATTATAGTGATTGACCTATTGTCAAATCCTTATCAGACACGCCTGGGAGTGGTAACATTGATGACACTGAATTGAACTGCGATGAGAATGAGCCTATTGTGAAAAAAGTTAATTAATAATAGTGTCCTATTCCTACAGCTTCTTCCATATCTCGTCATGGATATCCTGGCCGACTATCCTGGGATCCCAGGCCTGTTTGTGGCAGCTGCCTACAGTGGAACTCTGAGGTGAAGAATCTCACAAACGAGGAAGTATAAAATGAACTCTAAAGCTGTTAAAGAGCAGCATCACAAGTGTACAGATTATTTTAGAGATAAGCCTGGAACACTGGAACATACACTTACTGTAAGTTCTTCACGTTGATAAATATAGATTAACTAAACTGTGCTTGAGATTATATTTATCTCTCTACTCTCTACATTAGACTTTTCATTTGGGAGCATACTCAGTAGGTTTACTTTGAGCAAGCAATTACAACATGTTACTACATAATATCAAATACTACGAGTTAATGCATGTAGCACATACTACAAGGTAACTACAAGTGAATGTCTAAAGAAATAACTTTTTAAGACTCTCTGTTTGTTCACAGCACCGTATCCTCCAGCATTAATGCCTTGGTGGCTGTAACAATGGAGGACTTCATTGTTCCGCTGTGGAAAAACCGCACACAGAGACAAGTGACTTGGATGAACATGGGCCTCAGTAAGTTTAGAGATAATCAGATAATGACATTTTGCTAACTGATACCAATAAACTTCTGAATTTTATCTATAAGATATTCAGATGTATGCAACAACAACATATCTTATGTTGTTGTTGAATACATCTCACTCCCTGCATTTAGTTTGCATGCAAGGGCATGCAAAAATAATTAAAACCTCAGGGTTTCCAAAAGCATGAAGTGTTCATGGATAATCCTGCTAAACACTACCCCTCCCCTGTTCACTAACCGGTTTTGGAAACAAAACAAGAATTGACTAAGAGTTTAAGAGAGGTGAAAATATCAAATTATCAAGATCCTTTGTTTCTCGTGGTGCTGCAGAGGTAGCACTCACAAAGCCACAAACACATAACTAATAATGATAACTAATACTGTGTATAATATTACAAACAATAAAATCTAACAATTAACAATGTGGATGGAAACACCAGGGGGATAATGAAGATGATTGAAACCAGCAGTTCTAGAATGACTACCTCTGCCTCCATCATCACACTGGGATCTGTGTCACAGCAACTGCATCGTCAATGAACAATTGGGCAAAAGTCACATTTTCTTATTGTGGGATACATTTAATGTTATGTTAATTTCAGGCGTATTCTTTGGAGGATTGTGTATTGGAATGGCAGGAGTTGCATCATTAATGGGAAGTGTTTTGCAGGTAAGTAGTTCAATGATTGATTTTAGCTCAATACCACCCTCCAGAGGCAGAAAGTAAGCGGTGCAAACTAGCTACAGCAAGTCTCATCGCAAAAACACTAATTACATAAAAGTGTGTGCCTAAAGTCTCCTTCTGGACAGAGTTTTAGCAAAGAGACCGTTTGACTCTTATTTAACCGTCATTGTCTGATCAGGAAACACTTGTAACTTCTTTAATGATTTAAATCTTATTAGACCTGCTTCCATACAGTATCTTGAGGTGTATTTGTCTTATTGTTATTGTTAATGTTTTGTGATTTGATTTTTTATGTTTGGTGTAATCTTTATTGTGCTGAGATAAATATGTATTGTATTACTATAAAATAAGCCTTGTTGTCTTAGGCTGCCCTGTCCATCTTTGGCATGATCAGTGGCCCGCTCCTCGGTTTATACCTCCTAGGAATGTTTTTCCACACACCAAACTCGATAGTAAGTACTCCTACAATCAGTTTAAAAATTGTTATTGCTGATTTCATACACAGGCTTACCTTATAATCCCAGGGCAGTCTTTCTGGTATGATCATCGGCCTGGTTCTGACTTTGTGGGTTGGTATTGGAGCGCAGCTTTACCCCCCAACAGCTGACATGACTCTGCCTCTTGGAGTTACCACTGTGGGCTGCAACAGCACAATGAGCCAAAACACAACGCAGGCGCCATGGACCAGTGCAGTGACGATGACCACACAACCTTCGTAAGGAAATAAAGAGACATTTAGTTCAATCGTGAGGGTATACATCAATACTGTTATGTGTTTTGCCAGTGTGAGGCCACCTCTAGCGGATTCCTGGTACTCTCTGTCCTACCTGTACTTCTCTGTCCTTGGTGCAGCGGTCACAATTATTTCTGGATATCTGATTAGCATGGCCACAGGTGAGACTTAGAGGGTTACACAAAAATAAGAGAACAATCTTTCACATGAATTACATTGTGTTTTAGGAGGATGCAATCAAGAAAAACGTCACCCAGATCTGTTTGTGAAGAAGACTGATCTGTTTTATTTCAGTTTCTCGAACACATCAAAGGTGAACATACATTTGCTATGAAACCAAAGCTAAATCAACAAATAATTGCTTTTGCAATAACTTTTGTTGTTGTTGAATTTCTACAGGATAAAGATAAGATGTTCGAAGGAATTCACAACAAGGCCTTCACTGAATTACCTCCTGACATTTTGGACAAAGATAAAGAACTGACCACCAAGCTATAAATACATTTTTGGATGAATTGTTGTATCATAAGTAAAGAAAACATATATTTTGATATCTATGGTCGAATATGAAATGCTGTCAATATATGGGAATTTGTCTCACAGACCGACAATTGGACAAGGCTTTTATAAATAATCCACTTTTGTTTGGCTGAACAAAAAAGATTCTTAATAATTGTAACAAAACAGTATTCTTGTAAGAAACCGTTACATATTTTTCATATGAAAGAGCAATGTGAGTCACTAATTGTCTCTTTGGTCCTCCCTTCTTCACTTTTCTGTCTGAAAAAGCTGATCGATCTCACAGAGACCAATAATACATACCTTACATGTTAAAACTAGTGTAAGAACCAAACTGTTTTGAGAGTAAGGTACTAGTCGATGTATTTTATTGTTTGTAGTTTGAAAGTTCGGTACACTAGCTTTAAGCTGTGTGGATGTAAGCAATGCCTGAATGTGATGCAAAAAAAAAAAATATATATATATACATATATAAAATGTATGTATATACATAGATAGATAGATATAGAAAAAATAATATATAATAACATAAATAATATATATATATGTATATATATTATCAGGTTACATTTTCCCACCTAGCTCTTGATTTTACAATATTTTTTACAGCCAACAGTAACATTTTATTGATCAGGAATTTCCGTGTTACTGTAGGCAATAAATGTAATCTTTGAGTTTTAGCCTGAGCAATTACGACGTATCCTTGGTAACATACAATCCAGGAAGTTTACAGAGCATTGACTGTCTTTATCTGACACGGAAGACAATCCCTGGGTTGGTCAGAGGCAACAGGGACATGGCACTCGGCACTGGTTTTTGTCCTTTTCTTCCTGCACTAAGGTGAGCTAGGTTTAAAAAGTCAGATGTTGATTATTGGAGAATAATGTTTGATAAGATATGGCCTGTTTGTTTTCTTTTACCGCTGTAGGTTAGAAGTCATGGATACACTAGTTTTTCAGATGGCACTTTGTCTTGCAATTGCCTCTACTGAGTTCACAACAGACAATACGAAATGGAGTCCCATATTTTCTGCAAAAGTTAAAGACGCTTTAGACACCACAACACGAGAAACTTCGTTAAACTCTTCTGCACAGTGGACTCCAGCACAGACTGTTTTTCCAGACACAACTCTAAGCGCAGGGTCAAGCAGCCACAACATTTCTACAACAGGTAAAAAATCAAGTCACGTTCCACTAGAATCCACCACTGCAGAGAAGCCGTCACACAGTACTGCAGAGACTGCTGCTCGAACTGCCACTCAAACTGAAATGCCAACATCTGAGAGCCGTGACACCACAACAACTACAATTACTGCAGCTCTTACGACAGCAAAGTCACCTGCTGCCAGTGCCACCTCCCAACCTGTGCTTTCAACACGTGGTGAGACGATATGATAACGATATAGTTCTGATAATGAAAAAATTAACTTGTGTTTGTATTTAGCCATGCAGCTGAGCCTTTCTGAGAGGAATCTGACAATTACCTTCAGCTGTATTTTGGGTTTCTTTGCTCTGGTTGTCGTTGCTGTTAAGTTCAACAGATGCATTCATAAAACGCAGTTCTTACATCAACCTCTGCACAACATAGAAGACTTAAGTAAGTAGAATTTCTATGACTAAACAAACACAGATCTTTGTAAAACTTTAAAAAACAAATTTTGTTCAGATGGCTCCACAACAGGCAACACACTCATCTCTAGAGGACTTCATGATGGACATCCGATCTATGACAATGTACCACCAGCCGGACAAGACGAAGCCCACTTCAGCCTCGAGTTTCTTCATTAAAACAGTTAGTAACAAATACAATGATAAACATGTAATAGACAAAAAAGGGCTGAAAAAGTAGATTGTATTGTTTATTCATAGGAAAATAAATAAATGGGAAGTACATCTTTATTTACTATAACAAACACCAACAATGCAAAATTAACACATTAATGTAATAACTACTATCCCAACACAAAAACTATACAAATACTGTATAATTCAATAGATGGACACAAATATTCAATCCTACAATCACTAAGAACAGTGCTGAAACCTTCCTAACAAGCAGTCCTACCTCTACATCAATATCAACTGTTTAAGCAAATATCTTTTCATTGGTCCTCTTTTTTTTGTCATTGCCTGTGACCGCGGTCCAACCTGCATCCCTCATTCTTTTCATTGCTGCAATCTTTAGGTTGCTTTTGGGCGATTTCAAACTGAGTGGACTCTGACTCTGTAGGAACAGAACCATATACATAACTTTCTCAAAAGAATAAGGCCTGCGCACTTCTCTCCACTAAGCTTACCTTGAACTTGGAGGAAGCTGTATTCGGAAAAATCTAAAAAAATAATGTTTTCTCAGTCTACAGTGTATTTCAAGTTGAATCTAAATGAATAAAACTCACCAAGAGGTCTCCCTGACCCGAGCTGTCTGACTTTGGGTCGAGTTCAATGGTGCCTTTTTCCCAGGATGATTTCTTTTCAGTTGAGGGTGGAGTACGAATTCTGTAAGACTGAAGAAAACGAATGTTTAACTCTCACTACCCTGAAATCAATTTTCATAATCAGATATTTAAATACTTTGATCTTTGATGCTGATCGACTTGCAGTACTTTTGGGTGTTTTCACATTTTCACTGCAGATGCTCTGTACAAGTCCGAGGAAAATGCATTTATTATAAGAACCGTGTCTTTAGTGAAGCAACAGGAACATACCCTGCTCTTTGGGGTTGTGCGACATGAAGTCCGCGTGGAAGTGGCTTCAGATGTCTGTGTCTTTTACAAATACAAAGTTTTACTACCATTATACACACACCAGTGCTAATATATATCACATAATAATCATAAAGATACTGTACGTTAGTTTTCCCCAGAACAGCAGCACACTCATCACTGGTTGAGGGAGTTTTTCTCGCCTTGGAAAAATCAAATCTGTACAGTTTCAAAAGATTCTCCACTGGAGTTTTGGGTTTCTCTGTTTGTATGTTCTCGCTGAGGGGAACCTGTTTGCTTTCACTTTGTGTCTGGATGTTTTTATTTTCATTCTGTAAGTGGACAATTTCCTTTTGCAAGTTCCCCTATTACAGAAAAGACCATGAGTGATTGGAGACAAAAGTAGTCTTAAACTGTGTGCTACCTTTTCTTTAATATGATCCTTTATCTCCTTCTTCAAAGAATCATTTTCTCTCTTTTGTTTTGATAGCTCCTGCTTCTGAATTATTGAAATAAAGATTAAAGTTTGAATAAATTAGAATAAAATATTGTATTGTAATCCATTACCAATGTCTTTCCATTTGCAGCAGCTATAATCTCCTTTTCCTTATTTGCTTGGAGTTCAGCTTCTTTCTCCTCAACCATGCGATCGTACTGGTTCTGCTTGGAATCATGGAATCATTAACATGAAAACACTTTTACATAAACATTATTGTAGACTTTTAGAGAAATAGTCCTGCCTTGTGTTTCTCCATGAGAGCGACCATATCAGCGATCTTGTTTTGACATTTCAGCTCTGCATCTTCCCGACACTTGAGGGCCTCTTCTGTTTCTGATCTTAGCTTTTGGACCTTTGTTTGAGTGATTCTTTATTATATTGTGACTAAAATAGATTTAAATTAAGTCTTAACTGTGCACCTCAGTCTCCAGTTCTTGGACAATCGCCAATTTGTTCTGGTGATTTTCAAGTAGCTTCTGATACTCCACTTTGTGTGTTGTTGTCAGACTCTGTTTTTCTTCTTGCAGTTTGTTGATCTACAGGTCATGCATAAAAATGGATGACAATTCAGTTTGTGAGAAAATATTTGAAGATATATCCAGCGAACCATACCACATCCTGTAGTTCACTGGACGCGTTGGTTTGTTTTGCTATTTGTATTTTAAGTGATTTATTCTACAAGAAAAATGTGAACCGTGAACACTATGTATGCGTTCTGTAATTTACGTTTGAACATAGTTGAATAAAAGTATACCTTTGCTTCAATAACTTTGAGACGTTTCTCTTTTTTAGAGATTTCACCCTGGAAATGCTCATCCTAAAATGACAACATTGTAAAAACATTTGTACCATGATACCTTACACTATCATTACTCTTACATTTTCCTTAAGATTCTTTTTCAAAGCCTCAATCTGTTGACATTTGTCGTGAAGAGTCGTCTTAATGGAGTCTAGTTCCTTACTAAAGGTTCATATCTTATTTTACATTTACGGATGTAAATAGGATTTCATATACATTCAGAAAACAAAATCAAACCATAATTGTTGGTTTTCCTTTCCAACTGTTTCCAATTTGTTGGTGAGCAAATAGGCTTTTTCTTCACTCATCTGAAACATTGTAAAAGTTATGACATATGCAACACAACATCAAGTGTACATTTCTGACCTTTATATTTTCTTCTACAGTTTGAGCATCACTGTATCGACTCTCAAGCTTTAGTTCCAGTGCGCTCTTTCCAGACTGCAGCTCATTGAAGTTGTGCAAAAGCTTTTCATATGTAAATCTGCAAAATGCAACATAGAAGAATCACATAACACACATAATAATCACACATTAATTACATGTTACTGACTTCAGGTGTGTAATCTCTTCTTCTAACTGCTTCACTTCAGAAGACATCGCCTCATTTTTGTTTTGTTCAATGGTCAGATGTCTTTGCAGCTCATCAACTTGATCCTTGTGTGACAACAGATATATATGTATCTAATGTGTGTAAAATGAAAGGTGTTACTTACTTGTGCAAGTGTGGACTTAGCTTTGAGCTCTGTAAAGCTTCTGTCTGCGTTATTACAAGCCTCCTGTAAGAATCAAATGCATTAATAACACATAACAATGAATATAATGAAATGAGATCATAAAATATAGGCTATATATTTTAATGTTGTAGAAATAACCTGTAGTTGTTGGGCTTCCTCAGTTTTTTTCAAAAGTTCAGCCGTCAGTTCCTCTGCTCTGCCAGAAACCACTGCCATGCTACAGTTTATGGCCTCCATAGACTTGGTGGTTGCATCCTTCACAACAACATAGCAAGTTATTGAATCGACTAAAACAAGTATTTCATCTGACTTAAAATGTCTTACCAGTTGTTTTGTGAGATTGCCGATTTGCTCCTCTTTCTGTGCACTGAGTTCTGTCAATTCTCCTGCAGAGGAACAAGAGCTATTAGCTAAAATAACACTATAGTTTAGTCACATAGTTACCGAGATCTTTCTTTGTTTTTTCAAATTCTTGGACGATAGACTTTACTCTGGCCTCCACTTCAGTAGCCCTTTACACAAATGTTTAAAGATGATTTAAAGAAAGGTGAGAAAATATCTAATGTGGTGTAATTGGAAAAGAGGGGCGTACTGGTGTGTCTTGGCCTCCAGAGACTCGTGCAGCTCCTCCACAGTCGTCTGCATTTGCACGATCCTGTCTGCCTGCTGTGCTGTTTCTCTGGTCAGCTCTCCTAACTTCACGTCTTTGGCTTGGATCATTTCTTCATATTCCTTTCTTTTTGCCAGCTCTCTTGCCATTGATTTCTGTTTTATTGTTAGAAATAAAGAAGATAAAAAAGACACAAAACATGAACAAATCACAACACAAAGGTTTTGAGAAAAAGCACCTGGGTTTCATTATAGCGCTGTTCGGTTTCCTGCAGTTTTATAAGAATGGATTCGTGTTCAGCATTTGAACTTTTGAGGAGGTCATTTTTTTTATCTGTTCAAAATACAAGTTAGTGTAATAGGAAAAGTGAAAAGACATCATTACATACAAACAAGATACTAACCTATGTCCTCTTGAAGCTTCTGGCAATGTTCTTTAGTATCTTGTAGATCAAAACACATGTTTCTCAGATTGCCCTCAACGTTGCAAAGCTGAGTCTGAAGGGCTTCGATCTACATATAAATAATAGTTACACAAACACACATAGGTCGTTTATTTTTCTTATTTTGTGAAGGTTTTTATTTCTTTCCCACTCCATTTTGAGCTGACATATTCTAAGTAGAAATACGTTAGTAAATACTTTTTAAACTTACCAGACCAACAAATGGTAAAACTATGGCAAATACTGTTGCTTATACAGCATGTTTATATATTTGCATGTGTATATACTGTAAGCACAGTAGGCAACATACTAAACTAAGGAATGTAAATATTCTAAATACGTATGAATGTAAAATTTAATCAAGTTTTGAAAAAAATATGCCTATACCTCTTCCTCCTTTTTGTGAATTTCTTGTTGTAATTTGCTTTGTTGATCTTCAAACTGGATTAGCTCATCTTTAGCTGAAATCATAGGTCCCGTTTGTGTCAACATCCACACAAACTATGAATAGGATTAATAAAAAATAACCAATACCTTTATGCAGTTCATTGCGTTCAGCCTCTGCTTTTATCTGTAGACCTTCAAAATCTTTCAAATGTTTCTGTGTCAATAAGAGAAATGATCTATAATACAACACACTAAGAGTATGTTTGATGCTATACAATATGAATGAATCAAACCTGAAGAATCTCATGGTATTCCAGCAAAAGATGATGGGTTTCCTCCCGTTCACATTCAACTATAAGTATTTTTCTTCACTTAAAAAAAATTCTAAAATATAGCATATGAACTGTTTACTTACATAATTGCATTTTCTCAACAGAGCGTTCAAATGTGTCTTTTAGAATATTGCACAGGTTTCGTGTTGCGTTGTTTCTATAAAATAAAATAATAAAATAATAATTATATTAGCTGATCATTAAGAAGTGAGTTTTTCTCAATGAATCAATACCTGTTTCTAAGCTCTTCATTTTCACTCAGCTGCTCTTCTAGTTTTATGCTCAGACTTTCGTTGCCAAACTTCAAAGAATAACGTTAGATATGAAAAACAGGAAGTAAGAGAATAGCAAATAGGATCTATAGCAGTGGTTCCCAAAGTGGGGGTCCCGACCCCCCGGGGGGTCGCGGGAACCCCTGGGGGGGTCGCAAGATGATTTCCACACACACAAAAAAAGATTTTTTTTTTTTTTGAGCAAATATAAAGCCCTTAAATATGTATTTAGCATTTATATATATTATTATATATATTTTATAATATATTTATATAATATATTTTAATAACGTTAGTAATTTTGTCCCAGTCATTGCAGCGTCAATCAAAATCATCACGTAACACAGCTCACATCATGCGCAGCGACAAAGCGTGTCCTGCTGTTGTTTGCTAAAACTAAAGGTGTTTGGAGGCTACAAATAAATAATACCTGCTTTAAAATGAAACGTGGTTAATATCCACAACAGAAAAACCCGGAGGGGGAGAAAAGTCACTTGTATCAGGGGTCAGGCTGATGGTGCGAAGAGAGGGAGAGAGGGCAGCGGAGGAAGGGAGGGCAGCGGAGGGAGGGAGGACAGCGGTAGAACGGCGCGTTAAAGAGGCCCGGCTTTTCGGAGTCAAAGGTAAAGAGGTCCGCACATTAAAAGCGGGTGGCCGGTTTATGCCTTTACTGACAGTAACTTTGGAAAGAGAAGCCGCGGGGATGAACCGCATAAAGTAACAGCAGAAAGCGGCCGCCCGCTTTTAATGTGCGGACCTCTTTACCGCTGACTCCGGAAAGCCGGCCCACTTTACCGCGGTAGGAGAACAGTGAGGGCGAGCCGCAAGAAATGCGCTCCAATTCTGCTGAGGAGGGAGCCCACCAAGCCCATCACTGTGTCACTACATGAGTAAAAATATGCAAGCCTCCTTTTTTGGGCTGGACAGTGCAGCTCGGTAGTGGCGTGAGTCTCTAGAAAGGGGGGGGGGGGGGGTCGCGGGTTAGCAGGGCATTTATGATGGGGGTCGCGGGCTAAAAACTTTGGGAACCCCTGATCTATAGAACCATACCTGCAATTCTTGAATGGCTTTGCGTTGTGTTTCTATGGTTCTTTGGTTTTCAAAGAGCTTCTTATCCTTTTGCACTGAGTCAGAGTCTGATTTCACTTTCCAGCATTTTATTTTCTCAACTTCATCAAACAGCTTGGAATAAAGTTGGCCTGTATTGTGATTCTGAAATATATTCATAAGTAAGATGACATATAAACCCATAAAGGTGTGTGTGGGAAGAGGAGGATAATATTACCTCCTTTTCCATTGGGGGAACAACTTTCATCTTCACATGGTCTAAAAAATATGGCGTGTAAAGAAAAACATTTGTAAGGTAAGAACACTATTTACAACACCATACCTTGCCCGTTTGATTTGGCTTGTGGAAGAATGCTCCTAGTTATGTGCTGTTCCTTGTCAAAACATCTGGTAAAACCCTGCGAAACAACACATAAGCAGTAACATTTTAACGTTAGTAGTCTTAATGCACAACCAACCTGTTTCATCGGGGTCAAAAAGTCTTTGCAGTTGTCGATGATTTCCTGGGGTCTGACAGCAGAAACCTGACTGACCCGCGGAGGAACCAGGAGTTTGAAGCTGAAGCCCCTGTCTCTTTCCATCATCTTTTCTACTGAAACAACAACAAATGGTTATTAATGCCACCCTAATGATGCAAGCTACAGACTTCGCGACACTTTTAACGTGGTTTAGCTAGCGTTAACTTTATCCGGACTTCAATAACACGCAAAATGTTAAAGCTAGCGTAACGTCCAGAACACATAGTTAGCAACACCGGTTATGTGTAGTTGGAGTTTCACATGCGGTTTAACATCACCTTTTCAATATGTACTTACCGTATTACAATAGTTAATAACTCTGACGAACAATACGTTTGTTTTAACCGTCCTGCTAACGGTTACAGGTGCTGACAGGTGCACGTGCATAGTGTACGTAAGCCCTCGTGCGTAGCCAGATATTTCTAGAAACATATTTACATTTGAGCGTTTTTTCTGCTAACTAGTGTAGATGCGTGTGCTGTGTGTGTCATGGATCTATAATAATAACTGTGTGCATAAGGCGTGTAGGGGTATAGTGTGTGCGTGTGTGTGTTTGTGTACAGTCTATGGTGTGTATGCATGTGTATGTACATAATATCCTGTGTTCGATTCCTGGTCCACCGTCAAAAAGTTGGGTGCATTGTATTAGATTGTACTTTGCATTAAATAATCCACTCTTTTTTTAACAGTAGGTAGTTTATTCTGTATCGTTTTGCTATGAACGGAAATGTCAGTTTCCAGGGATGGACACTAGATGTCGCACTAAAGTATGTCTGTCGTGTTTTAAACTGTTCTATTTACATATTGAACACTTGTACTATGTATGTAGCTAGAAGACGTGATTTTAAAATTCAAACAGAATTACATAAAACAAATTAAATTAAAATCTGAAATGATGGGTTACCAGTGGTAACTTACCACCTGTGGCTTCACTTCATATTGATTTTGGTCAAATTAAGATTGAATATCATAGTTATGATCTAAACAACTAATCGATGCATAGAAATGAATAACAATCAAAATGAGTGATTATCAAAATAATCATAAGTTCACAGTCCTCTCTAAATGTCTTCATTATGAGATCAAACAAGTTTTATCTTATCTTTTCGTTCTCCAGAAAACATTTTATAATAGAATGAAAAATACACACACACTTAAACACACTTGAAAAAAACCCTTTATTATTCACTGGGTATACACAGATCAGGCTAAACATATAGTTTTACAAAACACACTGCAACGTGACAGTGCAACCTTGGTAATGAAACAATACAATGAATACAGTGTTGAATAGTGGGAGCGTTGAATTGAACCAAGGGTCTTCATGGTCCGTGAAAGATCTGTGATGCAACTGATTTGGTGATTGTGGGATAATTCTCCTACTCATTCAATGCACTCTATGCTCATCATTACAGTAGAGGTTTAGTGTTAGGGGGTTAGGGTTACACACTTGTGATAACAGATCTGGATAATATAGTTAAATGAATTACTTAAAATCCACATCAAGAGAAAAAAAATACCTTTAATGGAAGCAGTGCAATGGGTGCATAAGCCAAAAATACTTTAAACAAATTGTGAAAAATGTGTTGTGCTAATTTATAAGCATAGGATTGTAGTGTGACAAAAATAACTTATATAGCTTCATCAATATTCCTAGTTTCTATATCTTCAGTCTTTGATTTTCTACTTCCCCCAACCCTGGCCAATCGTTCCTCCTCTTTTTTCTCTTTCCCCAGTAGATGGTAGTTGTAACCCATTCCAAGAAACAGGAAGACACTGGAAACAACCAAGATTATGCCGCAAGCCTGGTAGGTATAGTTGTAGGTGCCATAGATATCTTTGAACCTCCCTGCAAAACAAAATGCATGAAAAATGTATTAGTTATTATTTGAGAATGTAAGTTTAAGACAAACAAAATCAGCAATCTAATTTCAGAACGTAGAATATAGAACCACATTTGTCCATTGTCACCTTTGTTCCAGACCCTGATGCTGTTAACATGATCAGATGTATATTATATATTTATTGCACTGGAATACACTGGATTTTATACCCGCATCTTTTTTATGCTAAAGATAGAGATTTTATTCTTGCTAAGTGAGAGTTTGTGTTTTATTGTAGTATTAATTAATTAATTCAGAATTAATTTTGTTAATTAATCTTGTGCTGTGTGCTCCTCATTCCTACCGTTCAGTAACTGGTGAGGCAGCACTGAAATGTACCCACTGTGGGACAAATAAATTATCTCCTAATCTTTAAATTTGCTGTTGATGTTGAGTGATTCTGACAGTACAGGATACATTTGCACAATGGTTTTGTGGAAAAGGACACAATATAGATAAAATGTGTTACTAATTACTATTATTATTATTATTATTATCATTAGTATTGTTATGGGAGTAGGTATCAGGCATTCCTTACCAAGAAGAGGGGGTCCGAGAAGCACCGGTCCGCACTCAATGATGGTGACCAGCCCCACTGCACTGGAGAACCGCTGTGTTCCCACCAGGTCCATGAGGGTCTCAAACAGCACAGCACTCAGCCAGCCAAATGCAAAGCCAAAGAACATAGAATAAATAACAAAGCCTTTGTAATCTGTGGATAAGGGAGCACAGAGATGACACACTCCATTGTACAGCACAGAAGCAGCAAAAAAGTACTGCACTCGTGGACGGATCCATTTTGTGTTGGCAACAAGTCCCATCGAGGGCCGAGCCACCATGTCCACAAAGGCCAACGTGGACAGCAAAAAGGCAGCTTTTTCCTTGGGAATGTGGATGCTCTTTGCGTAGTTACTGAGGAACACGAGGGGAGTGAAGAGGCCGAAGAACATGATGACATTGCCCATGATGTAAAGCAAGAATCCTCTATGTTTGAACAGAGACAAGTCAATGAAGCTATTCATTCTCTGGGTACATGTAACACTTTCATTGGTCTTTTCGGCTGGTTTTGGTTTGGGTCCAATTGGGCGCATGAGAGCTCCAGCAACGCAACAATTTAGGAGGAGACCACCCAGAATCAGGAAGCTTCCTCTCCATCCAAACTTGTCAAAGAACCATGTGTTCATAGGAGCTAGAGTGGAGAGAAAGACAGGGCTCCCAGCCATTGCGAGACCGTTAGCGATGGGCCGTTTCTTGTAGAAGTACTTTCCAATCATGGTTAAGGCAGGGTTGAGGTTAAATGCGAGTCCCAGGCCTAAAAGGATAAACAGGTTTTTAGTTATAAAGTGCATCATATTTCTATCTGCAGTTGTGTTGCACTGTTTCAAGTATACTATACCTCCCACAATGCCAATGCAGAAGTATAATGCCTCCACAGAATTACAGAAGGATGCAGCTATGAGGCCAATCCCAGACAAGCATCCTCCAGCCATCATGACTGGACGACTCCCATATTTATTGACTAGAATGCTGCTGATTGGACCTGCAAAAAAATATCTATATTAGGAATGAAAACAAATAATTATGCTGTTTATCCAGCAGAGGGTGCAATTTGCAAAGCAGTGGATTTAGCCATTTAATCCAGCGTTTACTCACTACTGCACTGCAGTTGTGTATAAGTTGTATTAAAATGATGATCTCTCTCTCACTTTCTTTAGCTAAACATTATGTTTTAAAGACAAACGAACAAAGCATAAATAGCTCTCTCCAACTTACTATAATCAAGGGCTTTTTGATCAAGTTTAAATAGTCTAATTCTGTTATATCAAACGCTGCTTTCTCCTATAAATAACGTTATAAAGGAAGAATAAACATTCTCCACAAAAATAACATGTTTAAACATTGAAAAATCACAAGGATTTAGCAAAGATGACAAATATAATCCCTATCTACAGCCTATAACAACTCGACTTAATGAGTTTGGGGATCCACACTGAAGACATTCTTGCCTCGCTGCCAAAACTCTGCACCGCCCAATAAAACTAAATGGAAACTGACAGTTTTTGTTTAGGGCTTGTCCAGACTCATTTGCTGCTATGGAGCAAGACAAAGGGCTTTTAAATTATAATGCAGCAAGTCTCCACACTAACAATGAGTTCTTTCCTTCCACGCTGTAGACAGAGTTCCTTAGATAAAAGGATTGAAGATGAACCAATGTAGAAAATTATGAGCATAATGAATGGGAAAACTGAAGGAGTGCATTCTTTATAAACATCACCTGATGGTGTGCAGCGAATGTAAAATCTATACTAGCAAAGTATGTTGTCACCCGCTTATATTGGCTTGGTTATTTCCCCTGTGTCTGCTTATTACCATACAAAGCTTACTGGAGTCTGCAAATTAACACTGAACTGTTTGCTTCTAATTAATATAGTCCTAGAGAGAGAGTCATTCACCTTTTAGGATGAATGCAAGAGCACAGATGACACATACAAAAGAGCTGCTACATGTTTCAGAGCAGAGTACATACATGCAGAGAGGTGGGCACTATTCCACTAAACAATAGTTTCCATTGATCCTCTGATGTAGAGCCAAGTACTTCCACCGTAATCAGGGCTTAACCCTAAACGTGAACATACTGTTCTCATTCTAAAAAATGCACTAGAAATGTACAACATACAAGCTAAGCATTCTCCCATCATGCACTGCACCTTACACAGTAAGTGTTCTGTACACAGTAAGTGTTCTATACACAGTAAGTCTACTTTTTATGTAAATTACCAGAGTAAACTCAGCGAAAACACAAAAGTTAAACAAATAATTATTGAATTAAGTATAAAGTTCTACTGAATTAATTTAATTGTGTACAAAATATTGTGATGTATGTGACCTGTTGGAATAAGGTTTGTTCATACCTCCTCCATACATGACAGCGAGCATGATCGAGGATATCCACGACACCTGACTGCTGCTCACATTGAATATTACTTCAATCTCTTTGAAGAAGACGGTGATGGACTTGGGGAATGCATAGGAGAAGCCAATGGAGATGAAGGCTCCAACCACAACCATCCATCCCCAGCCTCCCTCAGGCGGAGTGTAGCCCACTGGACCTCCCAGGGCAACAGGCATCTTTACAGCCTCCTCTTGGACCCAGACACAAGTCAAAGTGAAGAACTGAAAAGAAAAAGAAGCATATTTAGTTGTGGATGCAGAAGGAAAAACAACATTTGCATTTGTGATAATTATTTATATCAATGACATCGGCTTGAATTACAGAAAAAAATGGCCTTTTGACCAACTCTATTATTTTGAGGTGCACCTGCTCAAAAAAATCAATTTGATGAATTGATTTGTTGGTTGTTTTAACTCATTTTGACCCTAATTAAGCTGAATACTGCAAAATCTATAAATTATAAGGTGATAATTGCCTAAATCAAGTGGTTTTTTATCTATATTGAGTACATTCTGACTGTCTTAAAACAAGATTTGCCAATGGGACAAAGCGGTTTAGTCTTTCAAGAACTGTTGCTTTCTCATTCCAAGGCAGACATTTCTTGTATATTTTTAAAACAAGATCCTTTTCCTTGGCTGCCATGTGCTCTAATTGAGATACATTTTGCCAATTTTTACTTATTTTTCATCACTTTCATAGATTTTTCTCCACTTGTTAACATAAAAAACAAGACATTGTAGTTACTGCTCTGTCTCACATTTCATGGCAAGTGTGTGTCCGGGACTATATTTACAGTATGTATATCTGTGTATATATAGCAGTTAACGATTAGTTTATTAATTACTGACTAAGTACTGACTAAAATAGATGTGAATTATTGATAAAACTTCATTACAGTGACAAAACATATTATAATATAAAAATAAAGATTAAGATTTAAGATTAAGAGATCTTAAATCTTAATCTTTAAGAGATCCTTTATTCATCCCACACTGACAAAAGCAAATGAAACCAATTAAAAGATTGAGTGATGAAGTCCATCCTTTTATACTCGTACTCGCTTCCATCCATCCCTCCCTTTTCTACCCCTTAATCCATTTTTTGATTGGGGGGCTATCAGCTGCCACCCGATTCACAGAGCACCAGCCCCTCACTGATCCTCCTGCAGGTCCACAGAAGGATGCTGTTCTGTCAGTGATGGTACAAAATGGGAGTTAAGTGTCTTGCCCGTGGACACAACGACAGCAGACATCAGTGGCAGTCTGGGGAGCCACTGCTGTACCAACTGAGCCACAGTTGCCCCACTAGTACTCCCACAAATATGAAACTGCTAGAACTTCCAGAGCCGTCATTTTGACTGCTCCCATTCAAACCAATGGCATTCTGATGATGAAAACAGCCCAAACGACACAACAGTGACAAAGAGAAGAGGGAACTAAAGGGAAAAAATGAAGAAGAAATCAAGCCCGGGTGAACATAGCTATAGCTTACATTGTATCCTCTGGAGAGACCAGCGGGAGCGGACCTCCTCGGACCATCTATGCTCGGACTACATTGGGACGCTTGGAAAACTTCCACAATCATCCCGGTTCCCTAGAAGCCCAGACCATTTGAGCCAAACCACTACAGACCCACATAATGAAGTGCTTAGAACGGCTCATACTTTACTCCATCCTCACGACTGTCAGACCCCTGCTGGACCCCCATAGTTTGCATACAGGGCCAGGCAGGGAACAGAGTGTGCTGTTGAATGTCTCCTCCACCTCCTCCTTCCACATCTGGAGCTAGCTGGTACGTTTCCATCCGAGTCATCGATTTCAGCTCAGTATTCAATACAATACAGTGCTCTCAAATAGTCAGAAAACTCCAACAGTGATAGACCACAGGCCTGACTAGGTGACATCATCCACCCTCGTCACAAACCCTGGTTACGCACAGGGGTGTGAATTACGTCCATTTCTGTATACCCTTTACAGTGCCTTGCGAAAGTATTCGGCCCCCTTGAACCTTTCAACATTTTGCCACATTTCAGGCTTCAAACATAAAGATATAAAATTTTAATTTTTTGTCATGAATCAACAACAAGTGGGACACAATCGTGAAGTGGAATGAAATTTGTTGGATAATTTAAACTTTTTTAACAAATAAAAAACTGAAAAGTGTGGCGTGCAATATTATTCAGCCCCTTTACTTTCAGTGCAGAAACTCAGTCCAGAAGTTCAGTGAGGATCTTTGAATGATCCAATGTTGTCCTAAATGACTGATGATGATAAATAGAATGCACCTGTGTGTAAACAAGTCTCCGTATAAATGCACCTGCTCTTTGATAGTCTCAGGGTTCTGTTTAGAGCGCAGAGAGAACCATGAAGACAAAGGAACACACCAGGCAGGTCCGAGATACTGTTGTGGAGAAGTTTAAAGCCGGATTTGGATACAAAAAGATTTCCCAAGCTTTAAACATCTCAAGGAGCACTGTGCAAGCAATTATATTGAAATGGAAGGAGTATCAGACCACTGCAAATCTACCAAGACCCGGCCGTCCCTCGAAAACTTTCATCTCAAACAAGGAGAAGACTGATCAGAGATGCAGATGCAGCATGAACTGCAGATGTTTCTTTTCAGTTTTTTATTTGTTAAAAAAGTTTAAATTATCCAATAAATGTTGTTCCACTTCACGATTGTGTCCCACTTGTTGTTGATTCATGACAAAAAATTTAAATTTTCTATCTTTATGTTTGAAGCCTGAAATGTGGCGATATGTTGAAAGGTTCAAGGGGGCGAATACTTTCGCAAGGCACTGTATACCAAGCCTGTCCAAACTCCAACTTTGGCCCACATTGTAATTTTATGTGGCCCTCTGCCTTGCTAACCCAAATTAGATATATAGATAGTATACATTATTGATCCAAAAGGAAATTGTGCATTGGTCCCTTGCTCGCAATCATACTACAGTACAGGCCTAGGATGGAGTTAAAACATAATTAAAAATGACAATGAAATACATTAAAATCATTAAAAGAGAAAAGTTTAGGCACTGTAAGACAATGCAAGACTTTAGTTAGTCTTTGAGATCCTAAACACAAGTTCACTGTGTCATCCATCCAAGTTCAGCTCAACCAATATAGACATGTCTTGTTCTAAAGCCCATACGTCTGGAATCAGACTTTATTTGTACATACTATTAACATGGTTTCTAACTTTCGTTAATGGTGCTACTGTAGCTGGTGAGATGGTAAACATGTGTCATTCAGCCAACTTCAGATCTGTTAGATAATTTTAAAGCTCGAAACAGCCAGATGGCAGTCAAGACAGTTTTTCAGTCTGTGATGTCGGCCCCTGGACTAGTCTGGGAACTAAAGTGGCCCTCTTACTATAGTGTTTGGACACCCCTCGCTCAATAGGAACAACCGCGTCAGCCTATCTCCAACCACCACATACTTTAAATACTCCGACGACACTGCCATTCTGGCCCTTCGCCCTGCCATTAAAGGCCCTGTCTTCAAAGAAACCTGTTGTAAAGACCAGATCAGTTTTATCATAACTTTACAAAAAGGCAAATGTAAGAATCACAGTAGAGTGTCTATTGATTCTGTTCAGTACCTCGATTTAAGCATGCAGGTAAACCGGTACAGAAGAGCAAAAAAACAAAAAAACAATGTGTCTTGCACATGAATAAGAAAGGGTCATGCAATATATAAGACTTTTTCCTTTTTCTGCTTTTTTTAAAATGTTGTGGCTGGACTAAAACTAATTGAAATATGGTTTTAATATGTGGTGTACGGTTTTACTGTCTACAATCGTGATACATAACTAAAACATCTTACAGTGTAGTTTACTCTGGAGAGCCCATCCACTTGGAGCAGCGATCAAATCACAAATACACGTTCTTCGATAGCTCGCGGCTTCACTTGAGAGAGCTTGATGATTTAGCGTTTTACAAAAGACTTGATTTGGTTGATGAATTGGCTTAGCACTTTGAAAACCTATTGGATACGCCTGTGGTGTGCAGTGACTTGTGAATATTTAATGCGTTAAAGAACTTTGCTTATTGAGCTGGGATGTCGTCTGGGACTATAAATATGCAGGTTGTGTTATTTCTGCAACCCACCAGACAAAAAGGGTGAGAATGCATGCACAGTGGTTATGCATGCAAAGTTGTCTCTTTGGGAAGAAACTGTTTGGATGTGATACTCAACATTTGCATATAGATAATGTGTTTTTACTTCTCTGTCGTTTGTTATTTATTGTGAAATTTGTTTATCAGAAAACTGATTAACGCCACAAAGGTTATCAAAACTTGAATTTACGTTTATTTCAAATCAACTTTCTTCATTATCCTCTACTTTGGTGGATGATTCTCTTCCCTTCTTTAACATATATTGGTATTTCTTTAGATAATGCTGAAAGCACAATGCCAGAATTAAATGCATTTTGTGGGAAAAGGCAACTATCTTAGCATTTATTGGATGAAGACAAAGATTTTGTTTCGTCTGAATAAGGCTTTTTTCACTAACCTTTATGACCCATCTTGGGTGAGGAAGAAAACAAAAACCAAAATGTAAAATTGTAAAGGATGAATGTTAACTCCCATCTTTGTGTGGAGTGAGAGACAAATGCCCACAAAAATTGTATAGCGCTTTGTGACTCTGGTCTGTGAAAGGCGCTATATAAATAAAGATTACTTACTACTTACTTACTTACTTTCCCACAACTGCTGTGTCCATATGTACTGTATATATCACGAGATATCCGATTGACTGCAGCGTATACTTGGTGACTCTATCAGAAGCATCTCGTAAGTGTAAACTTTGAAGCTTGAATCGCAATTAAAGATGGCTATTTATTATTATCACACTTAGAGAGAGACTTTCACACCCGGCTTGGCCTTTCGATACACATTGACGCCCTACGTCACTTGGTCTCGACTTTCAACTCACCCTCTGACCTTGTCTTTTCGCCGTGTTCAGTGTAAACACAGCGACCAAATGTAGCAGCCATTTCGACACAAACTGTTTTATCACGAGGATTGTTGCATGTAAAATCTTTATTACGTTGCCAAAAGTAAAACATAAAAGATGAGGTAATAAATGCTTAAAATGTCCTTGTAATTTGAATACACTCTGACCGTCTTAAAACAATATTTGTCAATGGGATAAAGACAATTTAGTTGTATTTC